TGAATGCGGCATGAGAAATGGAGTCAATATCGTAAAAAATTTTTTTGTAAAATCCATATAGTTTCTGAGAAAAAAATTATTGAAGTTATAGTACATTCAACCACTACATAGCGACTCCGAATACTGAAGTCCGATTTTGCAATCGCCGTTGCGAAAGTATTTACTTGTTATCTGTGGTGTTTACAATAGTTTTTTAGTAGTTGATGTCAAAAATGGTTTGCGTGTATAGCAACTCGGAGTTGATGGATATCGTTTTAATTTATGGTGAAGCAAGACAACATGTATTATGATGAAGCATTTGTGTTACGGTGAAACAAGACAATATTTGTGTTAGTTCGTAGAAACTGAGTAAGACGGACGCAAATGTGTTTGTTGGTGGATAAAATTTTAAACAATTGTTGTAACATCGGGTATGTCAAATGATTTTATTAATTATTACTTAAAAACACAAATTAATTTTATTAATTAATAAAAGCAAAGCAGTTGAATTTGCCGATATAAAATAGGTGCTATAAAATTCTATTTATTTCTGTTCTTGCGAAAGTTTTTGTCCGTTTTTGCCGGTCGCACTGTGCGAGGTCAGGTTTTACAGTGGACCAGTTTCCAGTGCCGTGCAGAAGTGTATTTTTAAATCATTTTCGAACTGCCCTTTTTGATTTTTTCTTTACAAAATTGTATTTGTAAGGGTCCCCTGTACTTCCAGATTTTTTTTTGGATAAGTTCTGAATCCCTGTATATTATATACAGGGTGTCCCATAATTATTGCGATAAAATGATAGGGGTTGTAGAGGGCATGAAAATAAGCTATTTTGCCTTATAAACCCCTCTCCGGAAATATGCCGTTTGGCAGCTACAGGCAAAAAAAAGAAAATATCAAATACAGCTTAGAGTAATTGTTCAAAGTGTCCCCCACGTTACTCATACACAAGATTGTTCATTGATTGGCGAACACTGTAGAATATCCCCGGTATGTCCTGAACCTGTGTGGGCGTCACTCTTTCCAGAGCTCTTGTTGGTTGGGAACAGAAGTTTCATACACTAAAGCTTTTAGATGGCCCCAGAAAAAATAATCCAGCGGGGTCAAGTCGGGCGACCGCGCAGGCCAATGCACAAGGCCATCTCGGCCTATCCACCTGTTAGGAAAGATTTCGTCCAAATACTGCCGCATTAGCAAAGCAAAGCGTCATCGTGTTGAAACCACATGCCAGCTCTTATGTCAAGTAGCACATCCTCCAATAGTTCCGGAAGCATATGCTGTAGGAATTGAGAAAGGAGCCTATGCTGTAGGAATTGAGGATTTCTGTAGGAATGCTGTAGGCTGTAGGAATGTAAACACCAAGCTAGTGAGTCAGGGGGCACCTGCGCTGTAGCGGCGAAACGGTATATTTCCGAACACGGGTTTAAAAGGTAAAATTGTTTATTTTCATGCCCTCTACAACCCCTATCATTTGTCGCAATAATTATGGGACACCCTGTAAATAGTATATATTATTAAGTATAGTAGATAAGGAAAAAATACTAATGTAAATATGGAATCTGCGGAGTCAATAGAAACCTAACTAGAAGGTAAAAGTGCTTATCCTGGACTACGTGTATACACTAGTGCAAAAATATGTCACTTGCCCCTTCTTAACCACCATCTAGGCGTTGTTTTATCTCGCTTAGTATTTGTTCTGACTATAATATGTGCGTGAGGCCAACTAAGTATATATGTTAACCACAACGAATGATGTGACGTCATAAAATGGCTTCCATGTTTTCCCGCGCGTTCTTTAATTATTTTGAGGAAGAAATTGTTGAATAAAAATCTTTTTTTTTTTCTCATTAGACAGCTCCGCAAAAAAAATCTAGAAAATTACCCCTGCAGTCTGACTGTCTATCATATGTTTTCGGGGTCGCTGAATCCAAATTCCATTTAACCCCATCACGTCAGGATTTTTCATAACCTCAAAAAATATGCCCAAAAACTCAATAAATCCTCTATCCATTGACCACTCAATCCCATTAACCCCATAACCCCTTAATCCCTTAAACCCCTTAACCCCATAATCTCAAAATGCCATAACCCCAAAACCCCAGTACCCGGAAAGAAAGAAACTTATGCGCGTTGAAGCCTTAAAATACAGTATGTTGGAGCCATGCATGACTCAAATGTTTAGGGTTGACTTTTTGAGGTTATGGGGTTTAAGGGATTAAGGAATTTGGATTTAGCGACCCCGAAAACATATGATAGACATAGTCAGACTCCAGGGGTAATTTTCTCGATTTTATTAAAAATATATATGCTGAATAAGCCCATTGTAACAAACAATGGTCTCCTTGATACTTAACCCACCCAGAAAGCCGTCACTGGGATAAATCCATTATGTCGAAAACCGACCCTGATGTCACGGACCTCTTCCTTAATGGTTGCGCATTCGACATTTGCCGCTCCCACGCGTCTTCGCGCACAACCCGATACCTTTGTTTGTGCGCCTATTACGGAATCGGCGATTCAATAAGCGCACGTGGCTCGATTTATCATGCTAATGAAACGGGTGACTAACTGGCCAACGAACAATAAACCGTACGCTATCGAATTAGTATTCCTTTTCCCTACGATCCGCTACGTGCCGAGAACAGCAGTCAAAGCAATGAGAAAAATCTGAGCAAAAGTCAAGGGCTTGTGCGGGAGAAGAGGCTAGATATTGTTACTATGTAGGCTGCGTCACAACCATCAGGATAGCCATGAAGAAAACCTGTAGAATCTCAATGGCATCACAAAATATGCATCATGGGAATCATAAAAAAGTTTTATTTGGAGAATATAACGCGTAATTTAATGCGAATTTTTCATTTGGACGACATTCATTGTACCCAACGAAAAATTGCAATAGAGTACATGTTATATTCCCGTTTGGACATGACTTTAGTTGTCTACAAATTTGAAATTTTGAAAGAGGCGTATACCAGGACTTTCCTACGTGTATGTTTATTAAAGTTGTGCCTGTTGTTAGTGAATATCAATCACTTCCACGTCTGACCATAGAGAGGAAGTTGTTGATCATTTTTAAAGATAAATAAATTTACAGTCTAATTTTATTGTGTTTAATTTGTAATTTGTTTATTACTATGAAGATCTTTAAACCGTTTCATAATTTCAGTTTAATAAAGAGAAATAATAATACCAAGCATACTAATTAAAATTTGTGAATGCCTGGTTTGGTGGCCGAACACAAAATCTACAAAGCAAATATTTAAATAAGCTTCTATAAAATATTATTCTTCAATTCTAATTGTCCATTAAATTTTTATTTATGTAACGGTTTTATTAGTATAAAAGGTTTTTGAGGTCAATATAACTATTAGTATTCCTACCACAAATTACTGTGTAGTAAAAGACTTCATTAAAACATTTTTAAACTTTTTTTTTATTGAAATGTTTTGAAATTGTGTTCGAAATAAATAGAAATAATATTTACAAAAAGTTAGGAAAATTCTTACTTTTATCGGAAACAATATAGAGCAAGAGCTGTATCACCAATTAAAAGTCAAGGAATTTTAGCATTAGATAACTATAATCTTATAGAATGAATTGTTTATTTTCTGTTCGTCATCTTATCATTCCGATGTTTATTGTTTTGATATCCATAGATGTCGGAAAAAACATCATAAATTGATATTTTTTCACAATTTCTGATATAATGAATCAAAGTAAATAATTTGCTATTATTTAATGCTCTGAAAATAATAAACATCAATAAAGTACAGATAATCTTTATAAAGAGTCGTCCAAAATTGATCTATTGTATATTATATAGTGTGTTTTGAAAATGGTACTATAAATTCAGGGGCCTATGGCACATCAAAAAAAATAAGACAATATGGGCCAAGAGCCTATCGTCTTCTGTGTTGAGATAACAAAGTGTCAAATATGATTTTTTTAAATTTTAGCTATATCTTTTCCAAAAAATAATGCAATGTATTGAAATTTGGTATATTTAAAGGCGGATATCCACTTGTGGCAATCCTCCATAACGTAACAACGAACATGTTACGGCCTGTTGCAAAAGGTGACACAGTTCGCTGCGAAAGTATGTATGGTTTTGGTCGTATCATTCATTCCGTAACGTAACAAAATAAGGTTACGAGACGACACAGGAACATAAACTCGCAGTATGAACCTGACTGCAATAATGGATTCGTCGCTTCAATTGCAGTTAGCAGCAGCGTCATATATTTTTATTCATCGTACAATTTTGAAGATTAAGAAACGGAAATCTCCGGAAATCTTTTTTTTACTCCACTCCATGGCACAAACACAGAAAAACACACTCTTCCTAGTCACTGCAAAAAACAGACTGACCCCGGACCATGTACAAAAGACTGACGAAACAAAAAAATAAGACAAAATCACATGTGCAACAGGCAACGTTACGACCAAAAGGGTAACCCCGTCTCAACATGTGGCAGAAAGTACTGTTGCATGCCTTTGATGCGACGACTAAAAATCGACAACTGATGGTTCGTCCCGGATTAGTTCGCTTGTCAAATTTGTTACACGTACCATGCAACAATTTTCCGACTTCACTAGCTGTAACGTAACATGTTCGGTGTTACGTTACGGGGCATTTGACACAAATGGATATCCGCTTTAAGGATACATCAGCATTATTAATTTTTGACTGCTAGCTAGAGATCGCTCTTTACGCGACATTTTATAATATACCTTTTTTGAAGTTAGGCTTTTACGAAGTAAGTTGATATTATATGTAAATGTAAATTATTGAAATCGCACTGTTTTCTTCTCATTATACCAAAACCGAGATAAGATGTGTTGATGATGTCAGCAGAACGTAGGTTGAATGACATTAACTTCCTATTTTCTTAATTTTACCAGTGAATTTCGATTTAAATGGATACTAAAAGCCTAAAACATGTAGTAATTGATTATTATTTATCTAGTCCCTAAAATGCAAGAGGTATTAAAAATGGTGTCAATTTTAATGTCTCGGTTTCAGGACTAGATTGGGGGAGCGGATGGTCAGCATGAATTCAACTCTTGTTGAAACTGTCAGCATAAACTATGAGGATTTCAACGAGAGTTTTCTTACATGTGGGACGTGCTTGTGTAAGTATATTCGTTAAAATTACCCAGAAGGCTTTTCTCCTAACGAAGTAACGCGCCTGCAGTTCCATATAAAAGATATTTTATGGAAAAATTGTAGGTCTATCAACCCGTGGTCGATCGCCAAGTAGTTCTTAATATCGGTCGCCTTACTTCTGTAGGAGAAACCCATAACTAGCCCGTAGGTATTTCCAGGACGGTGCCTTCTTAATTGCTTGATAATTGCATATTATTCGTCACTTCCTGTACGCGCAGAGTTCACGGTGCCTATAAGTGAAATGGCGGGAATGAGCGGATGTAACATGTCTCTCAATATCGACCATACGTAAAGATGGATATTAAGTTTATATTAATAAGTAATTATAGTATATAAAATAAAAATACAGACAGATGAAAATTCTAGCACATTTTCAATGTAAGAAATATTTTTTAAAGATTTGAAAGACAGTGTGAAAGTATTAAAAAAATATATAGTTAAAGATAAAAAATACATTATAGGTACTTGTACTACTTTCTTTCATATCTACAAAACAAAGTATATTATTTAGAATATTTAAATGTCGATACAGGTTTCACTGGTATTTAATTATTAATATTTTCATTTCACTTATATGCTTAAAAAATAGGCTTTCAGGATAAAATCTGCATCTTATTGCTTTAGTTGTTCAAAAGTTTATTATTTTTTTTGTAATAGAGAATGTTTTGGCAGTATATAGGGGAGATCAAAATAACACTATTACACCCATTTTTTTTCTTAACGTTTCTCATGACGAAAATATCGGGCTCCAAATGTAGAGGTAGGTATATTTTGGGTTTTAATTTCAAAATTACTGTGACCTTGGTAACATTTTGGCATAGTTTTTTACAAATAAGTGTTCATGATTTGATGTTAAAACTGGTCTTTTAGAATTACAAGGTATCGAGAAACGGATTCGCCCCAGTACATATTTTTTCAAAATTTTGACAGATGAACTGAAAATATTTTTAGATACTATGAACAAAATGGAGAATTTTAAAACAATAGTAAAAATAACTTATTCAAGGACAGCATCAACTAGGGTTTAATTTTCACAAATTAAGTCCAAAAATGCACGAGAATCCTGCTATTGAACACTTGCCGAAGTGGTATTTACCTTTTTCTCATATTTTAATTATGCAAATGTAAATTTCCAAAGGTTTCTGAAGATGACAAAGGTAAATAAACGAATTAAAAAAATAATAAAATAATTCGTAAAAGAAATAAACTCTAGCTATCCGTTTCAAAAACCGATTTATTTCGAAAACCGTTTGTCGAAATAAATGAGGAATAGGTACGATTTTAAAGAAAAATCTTCAAAGTATCTAAAAATTGTGTTTTGAGACCAAGTATATGATTGTTTTAACAACAAATCATGGACACTTATGTGTAACTCACTGCCCCAAAATTTTACCAAAAAGGTTAAGCTGGTTTTGCTGTGCTGTGTTGGAATGAACACTAGGAAAAAAATTGTAGGAAGTCCATTATATTGACCTTTCCTATAAACCTCAAGAGATTAACTAGATATTTACTCACCCTGTATAGTAGTGCTCATCAATATTTAAGTCAAATGACCTACTTTGAAATTAAAAGATACCTTGTTAGTTAATTAGAAAACGGAGGAGTACTTTATCCTGAAACGCCCTGTAGAGTTGTCAAACGAAAATATATTGCCTGAAAAGTTACATGTGTACACTTTTGTTTGATAACCCTGTACCTTAAAAGTTTAGACCATAGCTTTGATATATACTGAAGTATTATTTAGTTATAGTTTTTTTTATGGTTTCGTTTTAATACCATATTAAAACAACATTTTCGTTGTTACAGATGGCATTTGGAGTGGTGCGTTTTTTGTTTCGTATTAGTTAGTGCATGAGTGACTAATCCACCGTTCTGTTTGTTTTCACATAATGGCAAAGACAAACCTAATGACCTTTCAGCATAAGGAACATATGTCATCCATATCCATATACAACTTTTCCACTAACACCCATCGTTTTTCTGATCTGCTTAATTATGATTATGTTTTGTTAAAAAGTTGAGACCGCAAATCGCCCTTACAACGCAATATTTCATAATTTTGCCCATAATCCTTACTTTTTTATCATAAGTCATACTAAAACTAGTAAAATACTAACCCTATTTTAATTTAATCGGGAGCCATCGCAACAAGAAGATTGATTAGGTACTAAACATGTGACGTCACGGCAGAAGTCCGACGCCGCACCACTATATTTCCTACTAGGAGTAAAGAGTAATACTTATGCCTTTCTAAAAATATGTAGAAATTTCGAATGATGCCTTATCAAAACAAAATATTTAGAATTAAATCACACACAGCAACGCGAACTATGTTAATATTAACATGGCTCATCTCCAAAATGTGCCATTGAAGTTTTTAGAACGTGTAGAAATAAATTTTATGGACTCGGCAGCCTAATTATTCAAACAGCTACAATTTTAAGAATCTTGTTAATATTTAAAAACATTGAAATAAACGGAACTGAAGAAATATTATATTTAAATAAATATTTATCCAATTAGTGTCAATGTGTTAAATAAATCTGAAAATAATTATGTTTGTATAAAATCAAGACAAAATCTATTATACACACGAATTATATTTAATTTGCATTTTTTGCATTGATTTTTTAATTAGAAATTTGTACAGGATCTTTTTTATTCAATTTTTTCAAATATGCATAATTAGTATAGAAAAAAGTTGAATATACTTCGATTCATGTATCATTCACACCGCTGGTAATGTTACGAGAACGCATGGAAACCCCGCAGTTAATTTTTGAGAAAAGCAGTTGTATTCTTTTCAGGTATGTACGATGGCCAGGAGCATACCCCAAAGCTGTTGCAGTGTTCTCATACGGTATGCCTGCACTGCCTGACCAGAATAGCTGCCTCCCAGACCAGAGACACCGGTTCCTTTCGATGTCCAATATGCAGGGAACTGATAACTATACCGAGAGGAGGGGTGTCCGCCTTACCCCCGTCCTTCCTCGTCAACCAACTGTTAGATCTGATGTCCAGGCAGAGGAGAGAAGTCATTCCAAAGTGTTCGGTCCATATCAATCAGGAGCTGCTGTTCTGTGAGACTTGCGATACGGTTTTCTGTACCTTGTGCACGGGGGGTTCCCACAATGATACGGCCAACAGTTGCGAGCATACCATCATACCCTTTTCCATTGCTATCAAGAGGATGTCCGAGATTTTGCTGTACAAGGCTAACGAGTGTATATCAAAAGTAAGTAGAGCTGTCAGTGTGTTTTTTAAGAATACTAAAACAAAATGTTTTTAAAATCCTAAATAAAATAAAATCTAAAAAAATATAAGACATGTACGGATTCTGCTCTTACATTTTAGAATAGTGTGCAGTAAACCTTAAAATACTTATCACTGAAATTATAATTTCATGCTTTTGGTAGGAATTTTTCCAGATGTCTTTAAAACAGCACATATTTTGCAATTCCACAAGTCTGGTAATAATACATTACCAGCTAATTATCATCGCAAAATTTATATTATATTTGAAAAATAATAAATTTTTACCAAACAAATAGTTTGAATCTAGAGGCAGTAGGAAAACTTTTTATGCTATTATTGCGTTCGTGAATAATACTCAAGATGCCTTCTGCAGATTTATTCATAACATTTGACTGTATTAATCATACCCAGCTGGAACCAAAAAACTGGATAAAACTTATAAGGGACAAATAATAATTGTTTTTTATCCTAATAACAGAAAACAAAGGGTTTATTATAATAACTGAAGTGAATGACTTATTCTTCAGAAAGGAATTCCACAAAGATCAATCTTAGGTCCACTTCTCTTTTTGTTTCAGGTATATGATTTACCTGTGTAGGTATATGAAAACAATAAATAGCATAACTTCGCTTTTAAAAGTGCAAATAGTTTCAAAAATACAGATTATGTATAACAACTTATGTCAAATGCAAAGATCTGTTTTGATTAAATTGAATTGTATTTAATTAAACAGAGAAAAACTAACACTTCCATTTTTCATCTTAAACATTCTTCCGAAATGGATAATAAGTATGTGAAATTATTGAACATAGTAATCATATTCTCTCACAAATCTACAGCAAGTATTTATTATACAAAAAACAGCTAAAAGTTTGATCGTAAATGCTACATGAAAATGTTCAACCAATCTTTAAATAATTAGGCATAATGTCAATCTTTTCCCTTATGATTTATGAAAATTGGTTATATGTAACAGATGTTTCGGAGCCAGTCAGACAGACATACTTTTAACGCTCATGGCAACAAAATAATAGATTAAGATTCTAAGAACATATAAAAATATAATAGTGGGAATACATTTTTACAATTAGGACTTTGGGTTAAGATCATAATTTCAAGGATGTTAAGGTAATTCAAATGATTTCAAAAAATTTTCTCTTAAAATCCTGTCAAATGAAGTCAAACAATGTTCTTTGATAACAACAATCAGGTATGCCAAAGATATCTAACCTCGCAGACAACATTTTTAGCTGTTGATATAGCAACTTTATGCCAGAACTAGCACTGAATCATATTAGTAATTACTAGTAAATAAATAGTAATTTATAATTATCTAAAATAAAAATTGGAAATGATATGTCTAAATTTTATTGGTGAATGCTACCAAACACAATTCATGTTTTTGAACCGTGTATTGAAAAAAAAAACGGCCACAATTCGAGCAAAGGCACAATAAAGTAATTTTTCAACATGACAATGTTCGACCACATGTTGCTCATGAAGTCAAAAAATACTTAGAAACGCTGAAATGAGATGTTTTACCGCACTCACCATATTCACCAGATATAGCTCCATCAGATTACTACTTGTTCCGATCCATGACACACGACCTGGCTAAGCAACGCTTCGAATCTTACGATGATACGAAAAATTGGATCGATTGGTGAATAGGATCAAAAGATGGGAAAAAGTAGTGGCTAATGATGGACAATACTTTAAAAAATAATAGTGTAACAATTTTTCACAATGTACCCTTGAATTTACAAAAAAATCTCAAAATTTACAGTTCTGGTATACAGGGTGTTTCATAATGATGTGCATATATTTTAAGGTGTTTAGAAAGTAATTTTAGGGGAGGTACTTTCAATACATTTTTTTCAATTTGAGCTGCCTCCTGAGAAAATATTCAAATCTCAAATTGGTCGAAAAAATAAGCTTTTATTTTTTTTTATTAAATTTTTAGTTCATATTTGCTTAGCTTTTCCTACTGACAAAAAAGAATTTTTGCAAGAAGCATGTCAAAAATGACAATCGTTTTTGGTAACTTACTAATTATGTGTACCTAATCGGCAAGGAAAAATGATTTATTTTTTTTGCTCGTAAACCATTAAGTATACAAAAAAATGGGAAGAGTAAAAAGTTTTTAAATGAAATGTAGTATTAAAATTTTTCTTATTGAAATTGGTTAACGTAGAAAAAAGTTGAGAGAAATAAAACCAAGTATTGCCAATTTCTTTCATTCAGACATAAACCAGAAAAAAAAGACCAACAAAAAATACCATTCAACTAGTTGTTAATGTGTACCAAAATTCAAATTTCTAAGTTTAACCGTTTTCGTGAAAAAAAATAAAAGCTAATTTTTTCGACCATTTTGATATTTGAACATTTTCTCAGGGGGGGGGCTCAAAAAATATATTGGAAGTACCCCCCCACTAAAATTACTTTCTAAACACCTTAAAATATTTGCACATCATTATGAAACACTATATTTAAAAAAAAGATATTTACCATTAACAAAACTTAAAAGTAAAATGAAAACACTGTTATAAAATACTTGTTTATACAACACAAATTAATATTTTACCAAAGTTAAAAATGTTATTTCATTTTATCAATTGTCTTTAATGTTTTTTTTTTGCTTTAGCTGACTCAAGCCCAAGAAGGGGTGAGTGCAGAATTGACCAAGCTGGATTTGGCGAAAGAGACCTGCCTCGAACAAATCAACACAACATTCCAGCAAATCCAAACATTAATGGACCAGAGGAAGCAAGAAATCATCGACAATGTAAATTCTGTGTGTTCTGAAAAGAGACGGGTTCTGGAGGAGCAGCATTCTCTCATAGAAAGTGAAAAAAATAAGGTAAAACATGTTACTACTGAATAACCTCGTTTTATTAAATCTTTATTGTTCCATTTTAGGTTGAGCAGGAGTGTCAGGGACTGCAGTACCAGGTGGAAGTGCGAAACATAACTCAACGAATCGAAATACTGTCGGAAAAACTGGATGCCACCACTTCCTTAGGCGAGCCGAGGGAAAACGCCTTCCTTACCTGTGACTTCAAGCTGAACGACAGCCTAGAACAAATACAACAACATCTGAGTGTCCTAGGCAAGGTTCGGACAAGCACAACATTCCCCAGTCTGTGCTCCGCTCATTTAGAAGGTGAAGTGATTGCCGGCATAGAGAACTACGTGACGCTGAAAACGGTGGATTACCACGGCAATGCCAGGAAGAACGGAGGCGATCCGGTGGAAGCCGAGCTGCTAGAAGTCACTGCGGACGAATCGGATCGGAGCTGCCCACAGCGAGTCGTAGACTGTGATGATGGTACTTACAAGATCTATTTTCGGGCCACGAACGCTGGCCGGTACGGAATCAAGATATCTGTGATCGATAGGCCCATAAAAGACAACCCGCTGTACTTCGACGTCACCGAACATAACAACCCTGTGTGCGTTTACGGCTCCAGGGGCAGCGGGAAGGATGAATTTATGCAGCCTGTCGCAGTAGCCATAGACGAGAGGGATCAGACTGTTTACGTGTTGGATACCGGCAATTCCAGGGTGAAGGTATTGAACGAAGAGCTCGAGTTTGTTAAGCACGTTACGAATGAAGGATTACTCGGAAGGAGTTGCACAGGTGGGTTGAGATTTATATTTAAAACTGATGAAATTTATTGTGTTTTAAAAAATTATCCCTTTCATGTCGGTGGGGACGTCCTGCTAATCTGGAAATGTAATATTTCTTATAACAAGCGTTCAAATAAAAACGTGGTCAAGTTGGTTCTGAAAATTTGGACGTAGGGCGTAGCGTATAGCAAATGAACTTAAACGTCATCTGTCAAAGCGCTATATCGCCGCTATCAATTTGAATATTTTCGTTTTAAAAAGCGTTTAAAATGGTGTTTTCTCAAGAACAAAAAATGTGTATCATAGAGTCCTACTTTAGAAATGGACGCAAGATTGATGGAATATGGAAGTATTCTATTGAGGCATGTTTCATAGAATTTCAAAATCAATTTCCCGGCGTTGTTGAGTACAAAATTTTTCAAAGTGCAGTTCAGCGGTGTGTTAATGTTTTTCGTGAAACGGGCAGTGTAACAAGAAAAGAAGGAAGCGGCCGACCTAAAAAGCGGACTGAAGAATTAAAAGAAAATGTCCAACAAATAATGGAAAATGTGCCAAGAACTTCTGTACGTGTTTTATCACAAATGGTGGGAGTATCAGTCGGTACCTGCCACACAGTGTTAAAAAAAGATTTGCGTTTGTTCTCCTATCGTTTAACTTCTCAGCAAGAACTTCATGAAGTTGATTTTCCGCGACGGGCTGTATTTTGTGAATGGTTTTTAAACAATTATGGTGAACTTCATAATATCACCTTTTTTTCTGATGAAGCCTGGTTTCATTTAAGTGGTTACGTAAACTCACAGAGTATGAGAATGTGGTCTTCTGAAAAACCAGATAACTTTTTTGTCGAGGGCCCTCTACACGCCCAAAAAATTGGAGTTTGGTGTGCTCTCAATCGAAGGAGGATTTATGGACCTATTTTTTTTAATGGTACTCTTACTGCGCAAAGGTATAGAGAAGAAATTATCGCTCCTTTTGTTAACCAACTGGAAGAAAAAGAAATTACAAACTTTTACTTTCAACAAGATGGCGCAAGGGCACATACGGCAGGCGAGACGATGAATATTGAGGGAAGTTTTCCAAAATCGACTAATAAGTCTCAATGCTGAACATGAATTTCCACCGAAGTCATGTGATATTACGCCGTGTGATTTCTTTTTGTGGCCTTACCTTAAAAACACTATTTTTGAACTGCCTATTCCTGATTTAAACCATCTGCAGGCTCGACTTATAGACAAGATTCGTGAAATTAACAATACCCCGAGCATCTTAGAAAATGTCTTTAATTCTTTGAGGAACAGGTGTGAAAAGTGCTTGGAACAAGGAGGGGGACACTTTCAGCAGCTGCTTTAATTTATTATTATAACAAAGAGGGGGACACTTTCCGCAGCTCCTTTAATTGTTTGTTATTGTTATCACGATTATTCTTTAAAATAAAGTTATATAGTCATTAACGTTATTGAAACTGACAGCTGCTATACAGCTCGTTGAGAAATGAGGTTAAGTTGATCGCTATAAGCTACTCCCTACGTCCAATGTGTCAGAGCCAACTTCGACCACGTTTTTATTTGAACGCTCGTTATAATTACTATAGCACTAAATTTTAGAATAAAATTCTCGACGAAACGGGAAAGGTACATTAAAATTAAACGAAGGAGGGCGCAATTTTGATCCGAAATCAAAATGGTTGTTTTCCTGCATTATTAACATGTTTTCTAAGAATATGAACCTCGTTGGAGGTAAAAATTGTGAAAATTGTTGAAAAGTTTTTACGTGTTTGAAAAAAATGTATCAATTTTCAACATTTTTTTCACTTATTTTGATAACGATTTTATTCATTTCAAGTGTCCGAAGATGACTTTGAAATGACTTGCGTTTTTCATTTCTCGATAATGTTTATTACAGGAACCTTCTGAAGCCGAGATAATTTTTTTTTCCAAAAAAATCCGCAGGCCGCTATTTAAATGCTACAACCACCATTCTTACAGAGATTGAAGTTGAAGACTTATATTTTCAATAAAAAATACTGAGGTTCATTTTATCCACTTCTGAATTTTTAATTGTGCGTTAAACCGGAGCATTCGAGCGTGGCGCGAGCTAACTGTAGCGGGCGGTGGAGTGGGGGTAACACTACTCGTCTTCTGGATCACATACAAAAATGCTTTTGTACTTAATTTGGATTAGCTCGACGAGATAAAACAATATATGACTTTACGACAGCTCAAAAGCATAATTACCTTTGAAAAATGTAATTTCCTTTAGTCTAAAATTCTCTCACCTCTTGTTAACATTTCAATAATTGTTTATGAAATAAAGTAAGTACAACTTTTTATGGTAATTATATCTTTTTGTTATAAAAGTATTACAAAATATTTATTTAGTTATCATACAGAAAATTACGTGGTATAAAAATATTCGTCGATTACATGTTTTATTTTCACAGCTTATGTAAGTATATCACTTTTACGTTTCAATTCCTCTTCTCTTCAATTACCTCAATTGTGATTTATTTTCTTCTTCCATGGTTTCGTTTCCTATATTATCCACTCAATCAACTTCATTTTCGATTCCTGTAATAGACATTATCGAGAAATGAAAATCGAAGAGATATTCAAGAATAACCCGACCAAAAATTTTTACTTTTTTCAAAATAATTTTCTTTGGACATTTGAAATTAATAAAATCGTTATCACTCTTTTTTGTCATGAAAGTACAACTCTTAAGGAAAAAATGAGCCCTGATTCGTTTCTCTACGACTATTCGTCGAGCAAGAAAAATCGATTTTTGAGATGACCTTTTTTTCGAAAATTTTTTAATATTTTTTTAATTTTAAAGAAAGGTACTTTTTTACTTGCCAAAGGCTACATTTACAGCAATTTGCAAGAGATACAGCAAAAACAGTCGATTTTTGATGGTTTCTTCAATATATTAAAAAGTAATATAGCAATCGATATATTTAAAAATATGAATCGATAGGTTTTTTTAATAGGTACAACTTTCTCATTTAACTTTTTTCAATTGAAGTTCAAATTTTTTTTTGTTAGCACAAAACCGCTTTTTTACTTTTATGAATTTTTTAGATTAACTTCGCCATTTATGCGCCACAGGAAACACTACCTTTCTAGAATTTTTTTCTTATATCACCATATTTGGTGATATTTTTGTAAGCTTTCTACCTATTGATTGGACTATTAAATTAATTGTTTTAAACAGGATTCTAAATCGTCAGCTCATGAGAAATCATGTTGGCTGCCCCAAAGGGGCGGAGTTTAAGTCCATTCCATTCGGAAGAAAAAAAAAACGTTAATAATTGACAAGAATTAAACTGACAGCCCACTAGAACTTTTTGATGTCTTTTATTTCATTTATTGCTTTAGGCAAGGCCAGTGATGCCATATGACCCAAATTTTTAAGTTTTGAAAATGAATTTAATTTTTTCAATATACCAATAATAAGTAAAGAAAATAAAATTGCCATTATTAGTAGTCATTTATGTTGTTAGGTATTGCAATATCGAACGAGGGTCTAGTCGTGGTAAATTGGAGAAGTAAATACATCACCGAGATGACGACAGACGGAGAAACTATCAAATACTTCACTTACAATGCATTCCAAGAGCCCATAGACGTGGCTGTGGATAAGAGCTATGGGCACGTTTTGGTTGCAGATAACGGTATGAGTTGCGTGTTTGTGTTCGATGCGGAAGGCAAAATCCTTTTTCAGGTTAGGATCTAGAATAATTTGTTAACTTGTAATTCTTCTGAATCGTAATAATTTATTTCCGTAATTTTAACCTTTTTAGGTTGGTAAAAAAGGAACATTTAGTCTCATTTCATCTGTCACTGTAGGGCCCTTAGGGGAAATAATAGTTGCAGATTCAAGGATACAAGCGTTCTCGGCAAAGGGCGATTTTATGGAGGTGGTGTACGATGAAGGCAGAGGTAAGTCCCATTAATTAATTCGCTTCGAACGTTCATTGAATTTTGATAAATTAAGCATTGCTTTGCTAAATGTTTGTAAAATATTCAAATATTGTTCTTGTACAATCACTATGCAAGGTGTAACAGTTTTTATCTTGAAAACTTTGCATGCAATTAGTCAAAAACTGTAATTTTTCGTAGATACGAGATGTTCAAGTCGTATGTTTCATGAAAAAATATTTTCATAAATTCAAAATTGTTCGAACCAGACATACATCTTTGTAGTCCAACCAAATTACACTTGGAGAAAAAAAAATTGTTACCTGGACTTTTATAATTGGAAATGGTAAAGGGGCTTATAATAAACCTAAAAAAAAAAATAAATGCATAATCTATCAAAATTAAAAAAAAAAACAATTTTTTTGTATTTTTTCCGTACAATTGAATGGTGTAATCAGTTTTAAATTTTTTTTTCATTTAAACAAATTATCAACAATTACTGAAAAATTCATTGTTGCAAGTCATTTTTTATTTTATTTTTGCATTTTTGAGCATGTTTTTGGACTGTGATTATAGATTTTTTATTTCACTAAAAAGTGTATGTCAAAACGAAAAAATTATCACCGGCAGAACTCTGTACAATGACTTTTCTAAGTATAATTTTTCTTTGAAAAAAAATTGTTTCAGACCGGAAAAAATGAATATCTCGGAAACTTCTTGATTTTTTTATCTAAAAAAAATTGTAGTTATTTAAGACAGAAAGATATACTTTCACCAAGTTTTGTCAAAATTAAATTATTTTTGCGGAAATGAGAAATAAAAAATGAAAAATCTGAAAAAAATCCGTTTTCACATTTCTCTTGGAAATTTTGAGGTTATGTTAAAAAGTAACCTCTACAAAAGTTGTAGATTATTGCATGATCTACAAATTTTGCAAATGAGTTATTTTGATTGGTCTATTTGTTGATAAGACATCTTTATTTTTTTGGGATTCGCATCCCCATGACCACCCATTAACATTTTTATACATACATGCCTATATTCACTTCTAAAGGTTTTTTGTCTTGTGAAATTTTGATATTTGCTATGGATAAATATTCACAGTTGATTGGGCTGAAAAGAGAGTGTTCGGGAATTTCATTTTTACAATTGGTTAAAATATAATAAATCAAAGAAATAAGTAAAAAAGTTTCATGTTTCTAAAGTAATTCCTGAGGGTCCTGAAAAAATGACATGTCAAAAATGATAGAGCAAACCTTTATGTAGACCCCTCAGTTTTATTTACTCCTAAAAATTCATCAAGTTCATAATTTTACTTATAAAGGATAAAAAGTAAATCACCTGTTTTGATTTAAGCATTTTGACTATCCGCGATAGTTTTTAAGATGCAAGTGCACCAAGCGGCGAAAGCAGTAAGCTCCAAGACAAGGTAATTTTGCAAGGGACATTGCCGCTCGTGTTTACACATTCATTTGAACAACATTTGTCTTATTTGCCATTATTATTAGTAATTTTGTTATCAAACTGCGGTTATTTGACTTTTGTGTTATTTTATAGGTTTCAAATATTTCATAAATAAATTTTAAGGCAAGTATTTATGTCTACTTTATTTGTCTCTAGCATTACAATTTAATGTACATTTTATTAGGTTATAACTATGAACTTATCGGTTGTGGAATACATTTCCTATTTAATATATGCCAACGAAAACTCCCATTGCATATCAGAAGGAGAGGCAATTTTTAATGCTGATCATGTGGTAGTATATGGGAAAATTGGGCAAAGTTAATTTAAATTTAGAAATTTATATTGCGTCTGCAAACTAGTGCCTTTACTTACTAACAACCCTCATGAAATTCAGGGAGTATTATCTATCGGCAATAATATTTTGAAAATTTCTTCAATGGTTTTATGAAAACTTAATTCTAAATTTTTCTTGGACCATGAAGAGTAACCTTGAACTGAACAATAATACTTTGACAGTTTCTTCTTTGTATCCATAATTGCTGAAGTTTTCCTCACACTATTTTTTTAAAATAACAGTGTTCAAAAAACTTACACTACACACAGTTTTAAATAAAATACAAAACAAAATATCACACACAGAAGAAATGTTTACCTTGTTTCGCTAGTATCACTTGTCACCGCCAGAGGGCAAGCTCTTAGCTGCATTCACGAATATTTAAAAAACCATTTTCAAGTATTTCAACTTGATTTCCATTCTCAGAATCTAAGCATTTGCAGATTCATGTTTATGAGAACTTTTGCAACTTTTTTTGTACTGCAATTTGTTATGTCCTGTTTTCGAGGAACATTGTCTACTATAAACAACTATATTATATTAAGTGCTATTTTCAAAGTATCATGTTTTTTCAGATTATTATGCTCTGATCTATGTACTATGCTGCCGTCAATTACAGACTGACATTGCATTTCCTTAGCCTTAGCTAGGCATCTTTGACTTGTCCCTGTTGTGCTAGGGCTAGGTTCTGTGGGGGCGGACCCGCTACTGCAACCCCTAGGTCTGCCCTGATGTTGATTTCAGTTCTAAGCTTGTTATAGATGGAGCTGCTCCTCAGATAATGGCAGTCTTCTGAGACCTATAGTGGTCCGTGTAACTGCTCGCATCCAATGCTTCCAAGTGTTTTGCCATTATGTACTGTCATCATCTTAAGTGGTGGCAAAAGTTCACCACAACAGACATCTCAGTTTGACATCTCCTCAGTCGCGGCAAAGCTTTTTCAGATCAAGAACATCTCGGAGGACTACCATTAATCTGAGTGGTTCTATCTGTAGCTTAGGAACAATTTCTTAAAATCTATAATAATACGTGGTACAGTCATGACACTCAAATAATACTAGTCATCAAAGTGGCACTTACAAAAAATCAGTATAGTTCTATACAAATATTCCATACACGATCGAAGATAAAATGTTTTTACGACACATTTATAAAAAGCCTATTGCACTCATGTGGCCAAGTTTATGCAATAAGGAATGACTTTCTACACTTCTTTCTTAAACATTTTGGCACTATCTGTGGTGTCAGTTCGACAAAATCACTTGGTCTTTGCACTAGTTTAAGCCTTGATTGATTTTGCCTTTTAATAGTTAACGATTGCAAATCACTTAACTAAAAAATAAAATTACGTCTTTCAGGTAAGGGGCGCTATGGCGGCATAACCATAGACCCCGACAGCAAAATACTCGTCAGCCGGACTGAGCAGAAGGGTAGGACCTACGTCCAGCTCCTCTCGCTCACCGACAGTTCTCTAAATCAGTGCATCGACTCGCACGACGCTAAACTGAAGCGGCCAAGCGGGCTGGCCACCACAAACGATCACCACGTCATCGTAGTGGACCTAGGCAATAATTGCATAAAGAAATATCGATATTGGTAGTGAATTTTTTTCTTAATGCACGCGGTTGCTCAGCTTAAGGTGTTGCCTCTTTGGTTATTAATGAGTATCGAAGCTCTCATTATCCACCCACAAAGTTTATGAAAACAACACAGTAACGTAACGTAAAGAATTAAAATTTGCATATTTACTGCTCGTTTCGTATGGTAAATACAGGATAATAAAAGTTATATTAAGATGCATTGAAATGTCCATTTATCGTCTATGCAATACATTTTTATTATGTACACTATTTTAAATCATCAGCATAATTACCTAGCAGCAGGAGTGGGCAGTTTGAAGCTTTTAATGCTGAAAGTGTAATATTTTAACGGGGAAGTGGATTATATATAAAATTTCGGCAAGGAAAAAATTAATATTAAAAAATAGAGATGACTAACATTCTCTTGTAAAAAAAAAAGATTTTGGACTGCTGCAAGGAAACGTTTGCCGATCCCTGAGTATTACAGTAAAATATTCACTCATATGTTGCAAAATGTGGCGCAATTTTTTATTTTCATATTTTTTTTTATACTCGAGCTGTTGTAAAGTGCATTTTTGACATTTAAAGAAACTTAATGTAATTAATTATATCATATTTCTCTATGTGACTGCCAATATTTTTTTGCCATGTTTTTATGTGTTTTTTTTTATCTCTTTTATGTACATAATGTATATTAATCGATTCCTTGGTCCTTAATTATTATCATAGATCTGTAGGCTTAAATTATTCTTTTTAAGAACTGTTTTGAAAACATGTTATTTAGCCTAAAACATCTCTTAATTTGTACTTATTAGGTTGTAAATTTGTCTTTTGTAAATTTTATCCTCGTGGCATATATTTTTTTGTACAAATGTATCTTTCTAGTCATTAGTCTGTATTTTTATAACTTGTACGTATTTTTTTGTACATACTGAATAAATATAATTCAAGAAGGCAATATTTTATGTTTCCATCCCAAACCCCTCCCAAATGTTGCGAACATGCGAACAATGTCAAATTAATCTGAAGACATCGGGTTTTTCAATCATTCTTTGGGCTTAGGGTTTTAAATAAAATTATTGTGATTGATTAAAAATTATACTAATGACAGAGAAAATTTGTTTTGTAATTCACGACGGGCAGAGTGAAACATCACAATCATTATTTAAAAGCTCTAGAACAAAAATCTTCAATAATAAGTACATGGAGCTACCAAAAAGTGTATATTATTTAAAAAAGAAATATAATATTTTCGAAATAAGTAAATATATGTATATTGGGTGTTCCCTTTTAAACATACTAATTTTAGCGGTTCTGGAGAACTTAATTTTGAAGAGAAAGTCGTAAATAGCTTCATATATTACACACAGGATGTTGAATTTGATTTATTTCTGTGATATCTAAAAATAGTCGAGGAAATAAAGCACTAAAAATGGCCTTACCTCCGAAATCTATGCAGTAAGATGGATCGTGTTGCAGTTTTTTGCATTCGATTCGTTAGAGCGTCCAGAAAGTTTGTGACCCTAAGTGATCAATGAGAAATAAAAATTGCATCAGTGCATAAGAAAAATGCATTTTTAAAACTGCATCTCGAAGAGTTAAAAAATAAAAAATTTATATACTTGGAAAATATTGACAGAAATGAATTCAATTTTGCCACACATATATTTTTTTTTGTTAAAAAAAACTTCAATATTTCCAGAATATTTTTTATGAAAATCAATAAAAAAAACAGTGGCGGTTGTGAGCCAGCGCGGGCGGGGCGACGGACGATCTTACAAAGATCGACCACATCAATTACACGTTACTTATCGTGATGTCATATCGCAGCTGACAACATGGTTGCGCGAAAATATACACGTAGTATGTAACAAACTCCCCTCCCCCATTGTGAGCAAGAGTGATGTTATCCAAAGACCCCCCCTCCCCTATTTGGAACTCACGTGATTAATGGATGACCCCTAACGAGTTTCGGCTAAGTTTATAACGTATTTCCACAAAATTCCAGGAGACGATGTGGAAACCGGGCACCCTGGGCAGTAGGTACCTCGGAGACCGTTGCCGTCATGATATTTATGTTCATCGACCTCAAAAACCCCAAGATAACGAGTTTTGGCTAAGTTTGTAATGAATTTCCACAAAATTCCAGGAGACGACGTGGAAACCGGCCACCCTGGGCACTAGGTACCTCGGAGACCATTGCCTTGTGATATTCGTGTTCAGCGACCCCAAAAACCCCCGAGTAGCAAGATTTTACTCATTTCCGACAATATTTTCCAAGTTATAAATTTTTCATTTTTTAACTCTTCGAGATGCAATTTTAAAAATGCATTTTTCTTATGCACAGATGCAATTTTCATTTCTCATTGATCACATAGGGTCACAACTTTCTGGATGCTCTAACGAATCGAATGCAAAAAACTGCAACACAATCCATCTTACTGCACAGATTTTGGAGGTAAGGCCGTTTTTAGTGCTTTATTTCCTCGACTATAAGTTACTAACAACTAACTATTACCAAACAAGTCCATTTGTTTGAATGAACTAAAATTTTGTGTAATTTTATGTGCACTAAAAATGTTTCACGCCATTTACTCGGTGCCCTTTAATTTTGACAGTTTTGCAATATTCATATTCATATCACATATTCTCTTTTAAAATAATTGATCAGCAATTATTTGAAAATTGTTATAAAATTAGAAAAAAAACAGGCGTAGAAATTCTATTTAAAATAGGGGCACAGACTACTGTCTACCATGCTACTTCGCCACTGGTGGTCGTAGTGAATAGTTTGTAGACCATTTTTAAAAAACATTATGTCGCCACAACACAAACCCAATATGGTTTAACGAAGATTAGGTAAATACAGTAGAATCTTGCTAATCCGTTCCCAACGGGACTAGGAGCATGGTCGAATTATCAGAGAAACACTTTTATCGACCTTACCTAATTTGGTTTCATTATTCCTNAAAGTGTATATTATTTAAAAAAGAAATATAATATTTTCGAAATAAGTAAATATATGCATATTGGCTGTTCCCTTTTAAACATACTAATTTTAGCGGTTGTGGAGAACTTAATTTTGAAGAGAAAGTCTTAAATAGCTTCATATATTACACACGGGATGTTGAACTTGATTTATTTCTGTGATATCTAAAAATAGTCTAGGAAATAAAGCACTAAAAACGGCCTTACCTCCGAAATCTGTGCAGTAAGATGGATCGTGATGCGGTTTTTTGCATTCGATTCATTAGAGCGTCCAGAAAGTTTGTGACCCTATGTGATCAATGAGAAATGAAAATTTGCATAAGAAAAATGCATTTTTAAAACTGCATCTCGAAGAGTTAAAAAATAAAAAAATTATATACTTAGAAAATATTGACAGAAATGAATTCAATTTTGCCACACATACATTTTTTTTTGTAAGAAAAAACTTCAATATTTCCAGAATATCTTTAATGAAAATCAATAAAAAAAAAACAGCGGCGGTGTGAGCTAGCGCGGGCGGGGCGATGGACGATCTTACAAAGATCGACCACGTCAATTGCGCGTTACTTATCGTGATGTCATATCGCAACTCACAGCATGGTTGCGCGAAAATATACACGTGGTATGTAACACAACCTCCCCTCCCCCATTGTGAGTAATAGTGATGTTATCCAAAGACCCCCCTCCCCTATTTGGACCTCACGTAATTAATGGATGACCCCTAACGAGTTTCGGCTAAGTTTATAACGAATTTCCACAAAATTCCAGGAGACGACGTGGAAACCGGGCACCCTGGGCAGTAGCACAGAATATATAGCTACGCTATATATATAGCTACGCTATATATTCTGTGGCAGTAGGTACCTCGGAGACCGTTGCCATCGTGATATTTATGTTCACCGATCTCAAAAACAAGACAACGAGTTTCGGCTAAGTTTGTAATGAATTTCCACAAAATTCCAGGAGATGACGTGGAAACCAGCCACCCTGGGCACTAAGTACCTCGGAGACCGTTGCCGTCGTGATATTCGTGTTCAGCAACCCCAAAAACCCCCGAGTAGCAAAATTTTACTCATTTCCGACAATATTTTCCAAGTTATAAATTTTTCATTTTTTAACTCTTCGAGATACAGTTTTAAAAGTGCATTTTTCTTATACACTGATGCAATTTTCATTTCTCATTGATCACATAGGGTCACAACTTTCTGGATGCTCTAACGAATCGAATGCAAAAAACTGCAACACAATCCATCTTACTGCACAGATTTTGGAGGTAAGGCCGTTTTTAGTGCTTTATTTCCTCGACTATAAGTTACTAACAACTAACTATTACCAAACAAGTCCATTTGTTTGAATGAACTAAAATTTTGTGTAATTTTATGTGCACTAAAAATGTTTCACGCCATTTACTCGGTGCCCTTTAATTTTGACAGTTTTGCAATATTCATATTCATATCACATATTCTCTTTTAAAATAATTGATCAGCAATTATTTGAAAATTGTTATAAAATTAGAAAAAAAACAGGCGTAGAAATTCTATTTAAAATAGGGGCACAGACTACTGTCTACCATGCTACTTCGCCACTGGTGGTCGTAGTGAATAGTTTGTAGACCATTTTTAAAAAACATTATGTCGCCACAACACAAACCCAATATGGTTTAACGAAGATTAGGTAAATACAGTAGAATCTTGCTAATCCGTTCCCAACGGGACTAGGAGCATGGTCGAATTATCAGAGAAACACTTTTATCGACCTTACCTAATTTGGTTTCATTATTCCTCGCTGTTTTTTAGATATCACGATAAATAGGTTAAAAATTAATAAATTCCACACCCTGTATAAGTTAGGAAGTGATCTATGTTCATGTGAATTTTTCAGAACTTATCCAAAAAAAAAATTTAAAGTACAGGGGTCTTTTACAAATACAATTATTTTGTAAAGAAAAAATAAAAATGGCAGTTCGAAAATGATTTAAAAATACACTTCTGCACAGCACTGGAAACTGGTCTACAGTAAAACCTCGCACAACGTGACCGTCATGGCGGCAAAGTGTGATAAAAATGGATAAAAACTTTCGCAAGCAAAGAAATAAATAGAATTTTATAGCACCTATTTTATATCAGCAAATTCAAATGCTTTTGCCGTTATTATTATTATTAATTAATAAAATTAATTTATGGTAATAAATAATAAAATAATTTGACATACCTGATGTTACAACTGTTCAAAATTTTATCCACCGATGTGTAAACACAAATGTTGTCTTGCTTCACCATAACACAAATGTACACAGAGTACCCAACAACATGCAATGAGAGGAACAAATTTTGAATTATGCTGATGAAGACCTAATAACAGGTACTCAAAAAACTGCACACCAAGTTTAATTTCAACCAAAAACAAAGTTTGGACAACATTATGGGAACATCTGTTGTACCCATTATATGTTCCATGACCATAAAATGCAGGTCTTATGGCCACAAGACCATCTCGACAGAGTTCAGTTTTGCCAGTAGCTCTTAACAGTAACATGGGTTAACTTTTCTAGAAAACAATGTTGGTTGTAGACGAGTCTTGACTTTCATAATAATCATGTTCAGTCAGTTGACAATACCATGCTTATGAAGCAAATAAATTTTTTCATTACCTATATATATATTTTCAATAAATGTGTGGGCGTCTATAATTGTTAACAGTATTCTTGTTAGGCCTTGTAGGGCCTTGTATCTTGCCAAATTGTTTAACAGTGTATCTGGACATGTGTTCTTAGACATCATACTCTCCATATAAGTGTGTAGGCCGTGAAAAACCAGTTGCTTGACCAGCCAAATCACCAGATTTTAACTCCACTTATATCTTACGTTGGGTTCAACGTTGTGTGACTTGTGTGGAATAATTTATTTAAATTTTAGGTAGTATCAAAATAAATTAGTCTTAGAAATTAATAGGTAAGTTAAATTTTTTAAACACTGAAAAAATATGAGCCTACTTAGGAATCACTCTTGATAGTGTTTTCGTACCTTCGACTTTGTGTGAATATTACTTGAAATATTCCTTCCAGTCAGCAGCAATTTGTTTCTGTTCTAAATGGCATCGCAACATAATATATAAATTGATTTAAGTACAGGAAAACTATCAGTTGAAAAACATTTTCATTTTTCAATTTTAAATCTCCCGCCTGTAGTATTAACCAGAATAGCCAAATGAACAATATGTTACTGTACCAAGAAATAAATTTAAAAGGTAAGTTCAGATAAAAATACTTTTTACATATGCTTGTTTCTTAGTGCCCTTAATAATTGCCGAAAAATTAATTGAACTTATAAACACAAGTATGTCTTAACGACCTATTTTAAATAAGAAAACAGTTACCTTTAACATTAAATTAAATTAAATAAGTATTCTGTGGGGGTGTCGATCGGCTGGTCGAGGACTATGACTGTACTCGTTCGCATGCTGCAAAATGAATTCAGGAATAATTTCCACCAATCACGGCCAGCCTTTTGGAACGGAGTGTATTTTGTAGTGAAGTGAGTATTACCAATCCATAGCGAATAATACCAAATAATCACCTGTGTTTGACGTAATCCCTTCAAGAAAGAGCGAGCTAAAAGCATGAGTGCGTACTAGTTTTCTGAATGAATTGAGAATCCGAGTCTTGCGCAAACAGATAAGCGAAGACAAAAAGAACTTGGTGCGCGTGAATCGTGAACCCTACAATGAAGAATGAAATGTAAGAAAAGCCATTAACTCGCAGCAGTGTCAATAACAAAGAGGAATAATGTGAACTTTTCCTTGTGTGCATAGTGAGAGCCGTTGGTGCGAACTGAATGTGTAAGGAACTGAAAAACCATCCGGAAATCGCGATTTTTACAAGATGTCCGGACAACACAGTCAAGGCACCCCGGCCAGAATACCGAAATCTTCGCCGAGTTCGGGGAAACAGGGCCCCATGAAGGCTACTATTCCCATGTCGTCGGTTTTAAAACAAAGTAGCACACTAATATCAGGTAACAGCCCGGCCGTGTCCCCAACTTATTACTGGAAAAATAGGACTTCTCCTGACCACTCATCTGGACAGAGAAGTCCTGGCTCCTCTGCATATAAAGGTAGCTAATTTTTAATTGTCTATAGGGCAGTCATTTATGTTTTGGTGATTTGTAACCATCTCATGTAATTTAACTTTTTAAATTGATATTAAATTGATACATTAAATTTTGTTATTATTGTTATCTCTGATATGTATTGCAAAATCATATACGAGATTTATTTATCCAGATTAAAGATAAGTTTAAATTTGAACACAAGGATTACACATTGATTTATTTTTAAACCGGTACAGGTATAAGAGCCTACAATATTTATTTTATTTATAAGATGTATTTAAAGTAAGCAGTAAAAATGTTTTAAGTAAACAGTTCTTTTCATAGCGCTAATTTAGAAGAGAGCTGGGTTAAGTCAACATAAACGTTTGTTTGGTACTATACGTCTCTGGCACTTATCCAGAAAATATCTTTAAAAATATAACAAATGTTGACAGATATAACAATATGTACTCATCGAATACAATGAAATTTAACAGATTTCCATATGCATTTCTTTTCTGTACGAGTATATATTGTTCTTCATAAAAAATATTTCACATAATAAAATCAATTGAATTCTTAGGAAAATCTAAAACTATGAGGCCATGCAGTTCAGATGGCACTATAATAAGAAGGACAGCTTCTTTAGACACAATTTATCTGAAAGGCCAGTGGCCCAGGGACAGTTTCTATTGGCACACTGGTATACTTCAGATAGATAAAGCAACACAGGTAATAATAATGATCGAGTAATTATTCATAGTATAACGTATATTGACATTATATAAATATATCATGTAAACTTGATCTAGATGTACACAATACTGTTTCTTTAGACAGACGAATCCGATTGGTTAGATCCAAGAAAGATCCACAGTATATCAGAGACAGAAGATAAAATAGAGAAGCTTACTATAAGGCAAAAACCTAGGGGTACCAAAGAGACAAACGGCAAACACCTCTCATCAGGAGATAATACACTGAACAGTAGTTCACAAACTTTGTCCTGTGAGTACCATTAAATCGTTTGTGATTTTATTTATTTGAATATTTCTATTTGCAGCTTGCATATTGTCACCGACCTTCAAAGCAACGACGGTCTGTATACCTATAAAACCAATACCAAAAGCGTCAATCCGTAGCTCAGTGGAAGGTTTGAATCAGGAGATCGAGAGGATTGTCCAGAAAACTGGAGGCGAATCTCATAGTAGTAGGAGCGACGATTATGAAAAGTTTTATCAGATCACTCCGGAAGGACACAGGGCTCCTTTACCTGACTTATTTAGGAGTACGAGGTCAAGGTCTGTAAATACGCAGACACCTCAGGACTTCGGGGGCAGCGGCCATTCTTCGGGTAAGAAATATATTTTTATTAAACAGTTAAAGTAAAGTAGGTTTAAAATAAGGTTAATTTATGTTAAGGAAAAGAAATTTGAAAATGAAATGAATAGAACATCATACAAGAATTTTATATTTACTACACTGAAAGTGTGTTGCATCTAAGTTCGAAATCAATATATCTGGGGATTCTACCGATGAATAACTATTTACCAGATATTGCAGTGCTGATCGGACGATTAGACAACAGAGTATTTGTTTTAGCATGTTTTTAAGTGTTACCCTCAGTTGGCGATATATTTGATGTTTTATTATGTTTTGAAGGGCCACCTACCAGAGACTCTTCTCCTCTCATGAGGAGGCGATACATGGACTCGCCATTTAGTGAAACAGGTCATTAAAAATCGTAATTTCACCGCTCAGTGTTAACGTTGCATGTGCGCTTTTTATCATTTCGTATTTACTTTCTAAGTACATGCTAGCAAATCTAATCTACATTGCAAACTTATCGATTTCAACCTTTATTTTTTGTTTCCAATATACAAGGTGATTTATTTGAATGTGAAAAAATAAAACAAATGGAGAAAATTCAAAAGTGCAAAAAGAAAAGTAATATAATCGTATAAAATCATATGGGATAGGCACTCTTAATAAAATTGAAAGTTTGCCCCATTGTATCTGAGACACAGTTTTATTAGTTATATACAGGGTGATTCAGAACTTATCCAAAAAAAATTCTGGATGTAAAGGGGACTTACAAATACAATTTTGTAAAGAAAAAAATCAAAAAGGCCAGTTCAAAAATGATTTAAAAATACACTTCTTCACGGCACTGGAAACTGGTCCACTGTAAAATCTGATCTGGTACAATGCGACCATCATGGCGGCAGTGATAAAAACCTGACAAAAACTTGAAAGAATTTCGCAAGGAAAGGATTAAATAAAATTTTATAGTGCCTATTTCATATCAGCAAATACAACTGATTTTGCCACTATTGTTATTATTAATTAAAATTAATTTGTAGTTTTAATTAATAAAATAATTTGACATACCTGATGTTACAACTGTTCAAAATTTTGTCCAATGACATGTAAACACAAATGTTTCACCATAATGCAAATGTTTTCTTGCTTCACCATAAATAAAAGCCATTTTTGACAATAACTACTAAAAAAACTATTGTAAACACTATGGCAACAACGACTGTAAAATCAGATCTCAGTATTTGGAGTCGCTGAGGCCACGTGGCTCTCCATGCATATTACGAATGACACTAGAGACTATAGTTGTTGTCCAGCTATGTAATGGTTGAAGGTACTACTATTTCAATAATTTTTTTTCTCGGAAGCTCTAAGTATTTTACAAAAATTTCTTTTACGATATTGACTCCATTTCTCATGCCGCATCTATTCCCAAATTTTTTTGGATAAGTTGTGAATCACCCTGTATAATGTCGGTAAATAATACAGACCTATTAACCTGTTATTGTACAGTCCTGCCCAAGATTCATATAAATGTATGGATTTTCTTGGTCCCAAACGTGACTATTCTTAGTATTAATAATTCCTTGCATTGTAAACATAACTTCGTTTATCCAAAAAATATTTTGTAAGTGCAGATTTCTATCGGATACACCAATAGTCATTCACCAAATTCGACGAGCAAAATTCATTAGTATTAGGACTTGTCCAGTACAATAATAGTAAAGATTTAAACAATTTTTATAAAAAGTTTCCACACCTTTGTGATAGCTCCTTTTTTTCTAATAGTTAAAATCAACTGATCTTAGAGGAAAATTTAAGGTCAGAAATTCAAAATTATAATTTAAAAAAGAAAACCAATATTTCCAGTTAAAGGACAAACTTTGAAAAAATCATAATTGCACAAAGATAATGTTGTTGTTTTTTTGGCCTTATTCGGTTGGATATTCTACTAAGTTTACTTATGTTATCAACTTCTGTTATTGCTATAAAATTGTAAGAACGTGTTGCTTTTTAAATAGTTAAAAATTTTTAGAGTATTTCAATCACTGCACTTTACATAGAAAATATCCCAAATAAGTAAAAAAAGAAAAGTATAATTGTATAATTAATATAAGCATTGGTACTATTATTTGAAAATCATTTGGGGCCCTATTGTTGAATTGACAAAATAAACTCTTATAAGAAAATGTCGTAAATATGACATCAAAATTTAAAGATTATTCTGTAGTGATTGTCTTATCACCTGTATTACCTATCTTTGTATATAATATTTAGTTATTTTTATCAGATCAGCTAGGATCCGGTAGCTAGGGAAAATGTATTGACAAACAAAAGAATACTTTGTATTAACAGAAAAAAAAAAATAAAACAAAATATTTTGAGGCCTCATACTTTGCAAATTAATTTATATCAACAAGAATTTAAAACATACTAATAAGAAATACATAGTTCTCTCAATTCAAGAATTGGGTCCTTGGTCTCTTTTTAATCCTTAATTTGATTATAATTTTCAAATGCACTGAATTTTAATCATTTCATAATTTACTTTACCCAATACTATTAAAAAAAAAATCAGTTTAAAAAACGAAATCAAGCACTGGTTTGCAGGCTTTTGTGGCAGTTGTCAACAGTTGATCAATTTCCATGCTGGTTGTCACAAGCTCAGTTTGAACTTCATATTTCGGGAAACATATTGTTCCCTCCTTCAATTATCCGAGTTTCTTCTAAAGAGAGCAATAAGTCGCTTGAAAATTAAGAAGTTTAAACCAACGAGATGGCAACAACTACAGAAATTGTTGAATCAGAAAATGAAGTTTTTAAATGATATTTTAAAAATTTTTAAAAGTAAAACAAATGTTTTGTTTTTACAAAAATCATGATTTTGATCATTCCTGCATCACAAAGTATTTAGATAGTTTCTAGAACACTCTGTACCAGCGCTTGTAAGGGCCATATTATTACATCACAATATTCTTCAGGATCAAAAGTTGTCATTGTTACACATTTGCATCATAATCTTATCTAACACGTTCGTACTTGCTGGCCAATTCATTAAACGAAGCTAACTACAAAATAAATGGAAGCATCGGGGACACATACTTGATGAGTGGCTTGCTGATATTTCTCAGTCCAACTGACATAAAATATGGGAATTGGGACACAAAAAAATAAGAATTAATTAGCTTGGACTTCTCTAAATTTTTACAGATGGACTTTTATATGGTAACCTAAATGGATATATTCAATGATGCACTGTACTGGCAAATAGATGCATGCAAACATATACTAGAACTGTGAATTAATTTTGAGGAATTTACAATAGATGGTGTAACTTATGCTATATCGCATCCAATACTTCTGTAACTATATCGTCAAAGTGCTGATCAATTACGCTTTTATTTCTTATTATGTGTTATATCAAAACACCATTTGCAGGAAGTTTTACTTTTCCTGTTTAATTCAAAGAAAAGTGCTGCTGAAAGTCATCGAATGCTGTTGGAAACTTACGGTGAACATACTCTTTCAGTAAAAATGTGCGAGTTTTGGTTTCGACGTTATAGAAGTAGCGATTTATATACAGTTAACAAAGAATGCCCTCGTCAACCGAAAAAGTTCCAAGATGAGAAATTGGAAATCAAAAGCAAGGAAATTGGGTGCCGTACGAAATAAAACCAAAAGATGTTGAACGGCGATTTTTCAGTTGTTTGAACGGCAAAAAAGAAAGGGTTTTTTGCACCGTATCATCACTGGTGATGAATAATGGATACACATGATAATCCTAAGCGTAGAAAATCGTGGGGTTTGTCTGATCATGCATCATCAGTAGCAATGCCGTCATGGTTCCAAGTTCGAAACTCATGCTCCGGAATTGGGTGGGACCAGCTTGGTGTTGTGTATTAAGGGGTACTTCAACCGAATGAAACCATCATTGGTGAAAGATAAGTTCTTTCGATGTGAAATCCGTATGCTGCCAGAAAGATGGGAAAAAGCAGTGGCTAGCGATGGATAATACTTTGAAGAATAATAATGTACACAATTTTTCACAATAAAGCATTGAATTTACAAAAAAATCCCTCACAATTAATTCACAGTCCTATTAAAAACGCTAAACGCATTACTTAATTCGGTGCTATGTGCAACGTACCGTTGTGGACACCCACTAGCTCACCTTTAAAACATTGCCAGGTTCTGATAAATCACCCTGTATATTCTTCTGCACATTTTCGCTAAATAGACTAGGCTGTGCTGCAGTAACGAGTTTTTTTTTATAAAATTCTAATTAAAAGTAATTAACGATTGACAACCATTCTTTCAGGCGACAGTGTGGGCTCCAGTCCTGACCAGGAGACCAACAAGCTGGGCACCTCTCCCCACATTAACAAATTTCTGGCCCGAGAGCCGCCCGATGGTTGCGAGAAAGTCCACCTCAAGTCTTTGGACGAGACGAAGTATGTACCTCTGGAGCACGCCCCTCAGCCATGCACTTTCAAACTCAAACCCAGTCTCGGCTCGGCTTTTCATATTCTACATCCTAACATAAGTAACACCGTAGATCAAGACTTACCGTTAGTGCCCCCTCAACATGAACTTAACTAATCTTTTCATTGAGTTTTTTCTGTATGGATCGTTTTGTACGAAATCGACAAGTTCTCGGTTTTACAACTCAAAATTCTGTCAAAAATTGTTTTAAAATTTAAGCGGACTTGAAATATCAATTTTAGACGTCAAAATATTTTTTTGGGGGATTTTCGATATTTGTCTTAAAAAAATATCACTAGCTTTATGTGAAACAGGGTAGTTGATGATAATAATCAAATTTGGATCTGTTTAGAGACGAGCACAGGACGATCCGTACGATTCACCACTCGATTACAGCTCAGTAATGTATAAAAAATATGTTACGATTTTGGAAAATTATTATTACGTAGTTAAGTACATTCCAAAAAGAATTTTTTCTATTGAATTTTAGAGGATTGTTTATAAGAATTTAAACTAGTTGTTAATCGTGGAATGAACTGTAAAGAAGCTGTGATTTTTTAGTATGAAGGAGACAGATTTTTCTAATTTTTAATATTTTGATTATCGAATACCTAATATTGTACGTATAATTCATAGATTATTTTGTGGAAATCTCTTACCTAGATTTTTCTAAACTCTAGGAATTCACTATTGTGAGTTATTTTTTAAGGTATTAAAATTTTTGTGTATGTTTAACATATCCAATAAACAGACTGAGTAAATTCCCACTTTTTTTCATCCAATAAATACACTCTGAAGATCTCATTTCAATTGAATTCAAATCAGGAAAATGAGCGGCCTAATGGGTTCTTCAATACACCAAACAAATTTTATCCACAGTTTATTATGTCATAAATCGTGAACATGTCTTAAATAACAAAAAAAGATATAGTTGAACTTATCTAGAACCTCAGTTTTTGGAAGAACCACTTGTTCTTGCCTTGCTTATATCTTTCTTCAAATTTAACACGAGTCTGGAACCTGACCTTCTTGCGCTTCATGGGGTCCTTAAGGTCCTTGGGGGTGACTTTCAAATCGGAGGTTAGGTCGACTGAATACCTTGTTGGCATCAAGTGATTGTAGTTAAGGATCTTAAAAAAAAAAGTCATATTAACTACTACGACTGACAGGTATGATTTTTATTAAAAACCAGTTAAGAAATAAATTAAGCTGGTTTTTTTGTGATGAACCGTATTCATCGAATGTTTCTGACGTTTTTTGCGTAAGTGTTACATCAAGAAAATGAATAGTTCCAAAACGCAACATCTTTGTTTATTTTTAATATAACCTTACTTTTTTCTTTCACAGTTTTATAGTATAGTTGTTACGATATCAATTGGAACCTGTGAATCTTAAAGCACAGGACCGTCTACACTTCTCTAGAAATTTCTTCATATTATGCTTTAGCCATGATGTGTCTCGTAATTTACACTCGAATAGTCATTGGGCGAGTCCGGTATTAGAGACCAGTCCGCCTGATGTAGAATGGACGGCGGAGCACTGGTCGTCAAAGCAAATCTTTATTGGTCCACTGGGTCGTAAATAATTTTTTGCATGGTATTCTATACTTAGTTTGGTGTCACACGCGGTTCACTTGGCTTTGTCAGTGCCATGGAGAGCAGTGCTTGACGTGGTATATTTATTGTTGGTATAATACGTATTATTAATTATTAGTTTATATTAATATTTGTTTATATCGCAACCAGTAAAGGCTAATAGTTATTAAAATAAATATTATATGTAATTATCTAGTAATTTAGCATGGCTATCTGGAGACCCTTTGAAACGGAAGATAACGAAATAACCCAGGAAAATCCCCAAATAGTGGAGCCGGTTTTTTTCCGAAGCGTCGAAACAAACTCAGAGTTTAAAAACAAAGATTTACATGTACCAAGTCAACGTATTATTTTAAATATATATGAATGTTTGAAAAGAGAAAATAGTGAACAATGTGATAAAGAAATTAGGAAGCAGATTGGCGAATTAACTAAGATATCAAAAACGACAATTTATCGCGTAATTGAAGGAGATCTTAATCACGGTACAAAAAAGAAACGGAAAATACAAAATTAAAAAATATTGAGTTTACCAGAGATGTAATATGGCGCACAATTTATATGTATAAAGAAAATAAAGTTCCTACTTTAAACGTGATTCGAGATAAATGAAGCGATTATCCTGATTATAATTATAAATCTTTAGGTACTTTACATGTTTTATTACAATGCGGTTTTAAACATAAAAAACTTGACAATCGTATGGTAAGTATGTAATCACGACGTATAGTTGCACTTCGGGAAGATTTACGTCAACTAAATAGGAATATAGCTCGGAATATAGTATTTCTAGACGAAACAGGACAAAATTTTTCTGGACGCCTATGGATTCCGTAGAGTTTATGAGTTTTTATGCGGTTCCAACTGATATCGTAACGACTGTACCAAACAAAGGAAACAGACAGTATCCTACATATTTAAAATATTAAATATATCGATGGCTTATTTGCAATAAGACGAAACTGACAGTGAGTCACAAGCTGTGTTACTTGTCATCTTGTCATGGTTAATTGTTTGTGTTATTTTAAAATAACACCACCGTGAGTCAGCACTTACAATTGGTTTAAGAGTTTACGCGGAATTATCACGTGGCACAGAACTGGTTGTTCTATTAACTGGCGTGAAAACCTCTTATTTGAAAAGAATATGGGTTACGAATATTCCCCTCAAAATGCAAATTTGTGCATACATACACTCGTTTTCAATTAAAGCGGAGAACACATCTTTTTGAACAAAGCAGCAGAACAGTTCAAACTGTTCTCAGTGAATGTTTTAAACAGGGTTTAAACTTTAAACAGTGACGTATGTGACTTCACCGTTTCAACACAAAAATACAAAGCCTTGAACCAAATGAACACATTTTGAAGCAAAAAAAACAGCTCTGGTTAAATTATAGGTTATGTTTTTCTTTCAAAGACTCATTTGTTTTGACAGTTAACATACCAGAAAAAATAATATATAAATTTCTTAATTGAACAATATCGAGTATTAAAATTAGCTGTACAAATTTAGTTTACCTACCTTCACAAAAGGCTTAATCTTGGACCTCTTGTGCATTTTCCCTTTTCCCATACGTTTGTGTATTTTCCTTGGGTACCTGTCAATTCCGGCTACTAAGGCATGCCCGTACTGTTTGTCGGAAGTTCCATCATCGTAATTCTTAATCACAACAGCTTTTCTGCCTGCGTACCGTCCACCAAGGACCAGTACGACTTTACCCGATTTCATAATTTTACCCATTTTGACCTGAAATTATAGAATCAAAATTAGAAATTGTATTTATACAAGGTATAGTAATTTAACTTCAAATAAATTGGAGTATTTGAAACAGAAATATGAAGCAAAACATGTAGACATAACCTAACAAAGTGTTAGCTGGCTTCATTTTTCAAAAATATACAGGATACACTGTAAATATGGATCCAAGGTAAAAGTATCCAATAAAATGTACTTGCACGCTTCAAAAAAGTCAATGAAAATATTTCATATTTGCTGATGATTAATAATTTAAAAAATACTTACGGGTTTTGATTGCCTACAAAAACGAAAAGAATGCTTTAGTAACCGCCAGATGGCATTTCATACGACTGTCAAAAATTCGAAGGCTTTAAAAAGAGGGAAATTTAAATATTTAGTCGTTATTTGTTATTCTGTGGTTGTTAGTCCACCACGTCATCTAACGATGCGTATTATGTGTTGCCTATGTATAAACGTAAATAAAATAACGTATATTTTCAAATAAGAAATGCACTAAATGTAAAGGAAATGTAAAGTTGATAACTGAAATAATGATTCACTTTCTATTTAAAGTCCGGTTAATAAATTTTTAATTTAAAAAATAAAAAAATATAATGTTTTAGAATCATTCTAAATTTCCCCATGGGCGTTCACAGAAAATTTTCACGTTGGGGACCCAATCAAAAAGATGTACGTGTCATATACATTCCATGAACGATATTGTAACATCATAAGATATCGAACTTAAGAGCACTTTTAATTTATTGTCGTCTGGATTAATTTTATTTGTAATACACTGTAACTTTTTTTGTTTATTTTGATATTTTTCCAGCGGTAAAAATAAAATGAAGAGCAAATTAAATATAGCCTTGCTACGAGAAGGTCAGCCAAAGATTTTTTAATTAAACAATTTTTACCTAACTTTAAAAATCACTGTGGAGACATTTTTACTGTATGTATTCAAAATTTATCGCACTATAAAATATATTCCTTTTCTACGATATCTCGACGAGTTCAGTTATGTATAAAACACTAGGATGTTATATTATTTAGGTATTATCAGCCCCCACCCCCACTTCTACGACCGTCTATAACCCTCCACCTGCAGGTACCCATAAGTTATAATTTCATTCAATTTTTGCCACACAAAAACATTTATTTATTTTAAAAATGAGGGAGTAATAATTTCACAGAAAAATGGACCTGGAAATCACTAACATTTCCAAAATATTGTCGTTTTCAAAGTTTTTAACGTCAAATGTTAAACAAAAAATACTCTTTTTGTTTACTTGCAGAACAGAGTGAACAATCCGAAATACACGACAAAAAAATTCTTTTAATTTTCTTTTCGCGGAGTTATCTTTTATTTATTTTATAAATACGCATATAAATACTTACCTATTCAGTAATTTTAGTTTTCCACGTAGGTTTAATGTTTAATTTAATCACGTACTGTTTTGGAAAATTAATATGAATATTTTCGATAATTTTCTGTACCCTGCCGCACAATTCAAAATTACAAAGAGGGGGGCCCCCATATTCATATCTTATAGTTAATTGCGAGGAAAGAGAATATAGCCAGCTGGAGTCAACATCTACCTGTCGCGGTGAATGTTGAAAAAGTCCAGTGCAATTTCGTTCGCGATTCGTGGTCCTGTTCTGTTACACTTTCGGTCCGGAGAATGTGTGCATGAGTGTTGTGTTTGGATACCAATTTCTCTAGTAAATCTAAAGTAAGTTATTTAAACGACATGTGTGTATTTATATTTAAAATTTTAGGCAAAAACTGAGCTACTTTTTAAAAACAAAAAGTGGGCCGTTGGTGAAAGTTTTATTTATGATGTTGATATAGATGTAAATTTAATTATTTACAATTTAATACGGTCGGTCAGTCTTACAGGTGACCGGATCCGCAGCGCATCTTGGCTCTTGGCTCTTGTAAATAAACACATAAATATTTGTTTTTAGTTGGATATAAAGTTATAGAATTGTAAGAGAATCTCACATAACAGAGTATATTAAAACACTAGTTTATTTCATATATTGGGGATAGATACCAGAGCAGAGTATCAAATAACTTATGACTACAAAATGTTAATTTTGTTTTACGAATAACGAGTAATAATTACGAAGATCATAGTAACTTATTATTTATTATCATAGTAACTTGTTATTTTATGAATAATTTAATTAACAATTTTATTACACTGTATTCAATGTGTGCAATGTATTCGCATGAATACGAATACTGAACATAGTGTACAGAATATGCGCACTAATTCTACACAAATACAAAATATTCGTAGACTTCCCTGAATATTATGAGTATTCATTATGCAGAATACAGTGCACACTGTACACTAAGTAATCAGTATTGGAATACATTTTGCCCAACTAACTCCGTATAAAGAGGTACCTATTTATAATGGCATAGCCACAAAACATATAAATACATAGCCCTCTCGCTCACTGGTGCCTAAGAACATTACAATCAATAAACATTTTGAAGAACATTTTTAGAGAACAATTTGTTTTTCTGTCAAGGTACGGAAAAGATTCAACAGATCATAAGAATCTATAAATTAAAAAGAAAAAACGAAAATTTTCAAACAACTTTTACTCTACGTAGCTTCCGTGTCCATGCTAGAATCATCTAGAGTGGATTAAATCCATCAACTCAAATTTAAATTGAAGATTCTGTCGTATGGTTCACTGAACCATCACAAAATCTGTTACAGTTCGCTGAACTTTGACAAAATCAGTAATGTCTCGCACATTCTATAGAAAACTAGCCAAACATTACATAACTAACCAGTAGCTCGCGCTAAGTAATATGTCTTGATTTATCCTTTCAGATTTTGCATCTCTCTTTTGTGAATTACAATACTGTGATTGTTTCAAACGGCCATTTTCAAATAATGATTTTTTAACTTTTTTATTTATTTGGGTATTTCTATCACAAAAAAGAAATTTTAACTGCGTACTGCTGTGCATCAAAAGAATAATTCAAAGGGTTGACTGCCGAAATCCGTTTAACACTAAGGCTTATGTACGAGGCGTGTCCACAAAGTAGGAGTATTAAATTTTTTTTTAAATCGACGAGACATCAAACACAATTTTTCGACGTAATCGCCTTCAACCTCAATGCACTTTTTGAGCCGAGGGATCAGATTTTTGATACCTTTGTCAGAAAAAATCCCCGCCTCCTCTCGGGCCCATTATTTCACGGCATTGTGGACCTCACGTCAATGGAAAACCTTTTTCCACCCATAAACACCTTCAGAGAAGAGAAAAGATGAAAATCAGAAGGTGTCAGGTCCGCGTTGTGAGCGGGATGGTTGCTTTATGGCGTTGGCTGTCTAGGGACGTGCACTGTCATGCAACAAGCACACTTCATTCGTTAACATTCTCTTTCTTTTGTTCTCCGTATAGTTTTCAGGATTTCATAGTACCGCACAGCATTAATTGTTTCTCCTTGTAGCAAAAAGTTAATGAAGAGAATTCCTTTACGATCCCAAAACACAGTTGTCATGATTTTTCTACTTTATTCATCATGAACATCCATTCTGTCAGCTTTATACTCGTTACACCACTTGTATACATTAGCACGATTCATCACATCATCCCCATAAACAGTTTTGATTTCGTAAAAAATCTAGAATGGCTTTGCAAGAAAAAACCGGATCTCGCAGCTGGCGAGATTCGAAATAGCGGAACTCATTTCAACACGCCTCTACAACAACAGTTCTCAACTGACCGAGACAAATGAGTGCCCATTCTGCTCCCAACAGCTTGGCCTTGATGACAACGTTGTCTCAGTACTTTTACTTTGTGCATATGCCTCGTATTTAACCATCCTTTTTTTTCAGTATTGCAGAAATACTTAAATAAAAAATGCAATAAATTACAGACAGTATGATTTAGGTAACAAAAAGGAATATGTAATTTTTATCGACACTGAATGGCAAGCACATTTTGAATTTTAATGGGTAGGTAACATGGGCGTAGGCACCCGAAGGTTATATTTTAATTTTTATTTCTACCACATTTTCAATTGGTTTAAAATTGTACCTTTTGTTATAAAAATCATGTAATCTTATATGTAAAATAAAGATGCATTGCGTTTGAACTGATTTGTCTCGGAACTTTGTAGGTACATATATTCTATATTGTATAATATCCTCAACTAACTCCGGTCAGATATACCAACAAATCTACAGTGGGCAAAACTAAAGGAAGTAGGTTAAGGCCAACAGTGAGGTGACAACATTGAGATCAAGATCTTCGACATATCTACACCTTTGTAAATGTTAAGCAGGCTTAAATTACTGATATTTACACTAAACGTTGCTGAATTAAGAAAATATATAAATAATTCAATAATAATTTAGTTTAAAATCCTTTAAGCGCCAACAACCGGCAGCACAACGTAATTTGATTTCATTTCCACGATTTTTCTTTTGTGTAATTCTAGTTCGTGTCATGTAAAATTATACAGGGTGTAAGAAGTTTGATTGCCATTACTTCAGCATGAGATAGAGTAATTATAAATGAACAAAAAAGTTGTATATTACAGGGACGTAAGATTAACAGTTTTCAAAATACAGCGAGTATTAATATTGGGGAGTTTCATCACAACGTGACAACAGCGCTTAACCTGCTGATGCACACCACGTGTACACGCGGCAGACTTGTCCTACGGAAAAAATGTAAACAGCTATTATTGTGAAACGTTTAGTAAATTTCAAGACATTTGTTTTCCAGTTTTTAAATAAATAAAATAAAATGTATCGATTTTGTAGTACAAACATAATGTTGTGCTTAAATGTTCGCTCGAATGTTAGTAATTATGAATCTCTGAAAACATGAACTTAACTTTTAATCAAATTACGTATTTGAAATTAAAGTATCCAAATATTCACTTCGTCCAAATAATCATACGTATTAAGAATAATTTAGGTACTTACCAAATAGCGAAATTTAGTTATTTATAAATGCACGAGTACAAAACAAACTACAACATATGCTCAAAATGTCCACCACCATTTTCGATACACGCACGACACCTTCGTATTCAATTTTCGCGCACTCGCTGGAAGACACCTCAAGAAAAGGAAATAGTGGTACGCAAAAAACACTCCGACATGGTCGAATCCAGATACCAACTGAATTGCGTATTAGTGGTTGCTGGGAACCTTAATTCCTCATGTTAATAAACCGCCGCGCCGTTGTCACATTGTTCGATATAAATTTTATTGAATTTTAAATATTACAACGCTAATTATATTGTAGAATTAAGAAAGAAGTTCAAAAAAGTAATAAACATTGTATTTTATGGTATTCTGTGCACGCACCTTAATTAATCGAACTTTTGTACATCAAGTTGGGATTTTGATAATTTTTTTCTCGGAAATGGTTGAGTTTAGGACCCATGTCATATAAGGTTTTTTTGTTTATTTTAATGTATTCTATCGTCTGTTAAAATTAAGGCAGTCAAACTTCTAATACCTTGTAGAAACGCTTTGAGTAAAAAAAACAAAACTTTTAATAGCAGATTCAATGGTTATGCAATATAGGAGCCAGAATCCTAGCTAGTACTCAAGTGTTTCTCTTATCACCTTATCAAGAAAAGTCCATTAGTCCTTTTATTACAGATAGTATTCTTTATAATCTCTTTAAAAAAATCCGCTAGTCCCCGATTAACTGTCATTGTCTTGTGCCACACTGAACAGTTCGCGTAATTTCTCCCCGGGGTTGATATTTTTCTTTCCTCTTATACACGTAAGCTGTGAGTAGCTTTTATATTGCTTGATAATTATGCAAAAGAAACTGAATACAACTTGGCGCATATTTAATATTGGTTAGTCATTTCTCAGTGTATAGTTTTTTTACTAACAATAACTAAAGAGAAATATTGTTTGTGCAAAGAAATTCACGTTAATGTTGAAATATTTCAGTATGATTCTTTTTGATATTATGTCGCAGTAATAAATAAAATGGGAACATTCTACACAATTTGAATTTGACTGATTGCAATTGCAGGATTCTTTAGAGTAAAAGGAGGAAAGATAACCCATAAAAATATAGTTTTTAATTGGCGAAACAGAAATCGTTACGTTATTTAAATATTTTTAACCGCACGGTTTAGTTTGAATGTCAGGAGTTTCTTAAAAGAGAATTCTGAAATACATTTTTTCAAGAAATCATTTTCCATCACATGCAAATTCGTCAATAAAGGTCGAAAACAACTTTGTTCGCACCACATAAGCATACTGCATATTTTTTTTAAAAGGCGATTGATAAGACTATATAACCATAAAGCACTGCATTTATTGGAAGATAAAATAAAAAAATCACAACGTAGATAAATTTAAGCTAAGATAATTAAGATAAAACCGATTTTTGTTATATGAGCTGAATGATTTAATGGGGTGATGAAATTAGAATCTGTATTTACATCTGACAATCTGACAGATTTTAACAACTGATAAATATCATTAAACACCCTTCATAATTCAACAAGACTACAAAAATTGATAAAATTAATTACTCAGCAAAATAAATATTATTTACAAGTTAGATTTTTCATCAGCAAACTTTTTAATCTCCTATTCTTAGTTGCATATCTTTTGGTTTGTAATACTTGTTATTATATTTGTATAGGCATAATTAATTGACACAAAAAATTGCGCAATCCGTCTAGTTTAGGTAAATAATCAGTACGTGCAATCGCCGTTGATGCTAGGTAAATCTTAATTACGTATTAACATTAACAAATATTTGGAAATCGAAGATAAGCAGTGACTGATTGTAAGGGTTCAATTTGAAGCTTTTGCAATTCGTTGGTAAAACGAACTGCAAAGGAAATTGTTTATTGAATATTTAATATTAGTACCTAAAGCAAATTGTGTCAACCTCTTTTCATAAACTTTTTTAAATTTGGCAGTCAATAATGTGTAGGTGCACGGTACACTTACACTTATATTCTGCAGTTCAAATAATTGTTTTTCCGGTATTATCAAGTGAGCTAAGTACTAAATAATAGTAGGCCATTTAAAATAAATGAATACCTTGACAGCACTAATTTGAATTTCAAAGAACTGGTGTATAATATCGCTATACTAATGACTTGATATTTCTATTTTTTTATTTTGCACGTCATTTATCTTGTAACAAATATATTTATAGTTTTAACAAAATTTTCAATGTTAGAACTATCAGTTTAGATTAACTTCTATTTAGGGTATTCCCAAACAAATGCGCCGTATTTCAAGAGTACCTTTCTTAGATGAAAAGTTACCTAAGTTACCTGCTTTTTTTATTAAATGAAGATTATAGTATAGAGTACAACATCAGGTATATTTTTTATAGCAAATAAAGTAACATTTTGAAGACACCAAAAAATAAAGCAAAAAACTAGCGACCACTATGCGTTATATATGAAATATCTTAGAAAGTGGCAAATTAAAAAAAAAATAAAAGGTTTATTGAAAGTTTATTTTCGTTCGTGAAATCTATTTCGGACGCCTTGTATGGTGCATCCCATTTTCGACGTTTTTATTAGAGAAGGAACGTTGCGGTTTTTACGAATTTTCTTTTTTTTTTTTTTTCAGGTAAATCTTCAAGTTGAAACAGATTTTCGAAGGTTTTTTTAATTCTCAAGTTATAGTCAAAAATAGAAAATTTTGTCATATTTTGATACTTTTTGATAATTCGACTTTTTCTATTTAATTTATTATTTATTTATTTAATGAAAACTATAGTTGACTATGACCTAGTTAAAAAAGGATACTCTACATTCTTAAAAAATATGTAGTAATAAAAAAATTACATAGTACATTTTTTCCTAAATTTATTAAAAATTTACGAAGTTGACATTGATTAGAAACAAATCTCTATTAATCAGAATTTGGTGCCATTGTTGTACATATACGTATAGATAATAATAACTTCATATAGTCGGTTACAGGGTGATTCACTATATTTTGACCCCCCCCCCCATTAACTTTTTGTTTTTAAGTTATAAAAAAATGTGAAATACAAAAGTTGCACGATTTTTTATGAATTTTGAAATGATAGTAGAAAAACAAATGAAGTCCAAACAAAATGGCATCGGATGTTAACTTTGTTAATTTAAATGGCATACCCTGTATATTTTTACATATTTGCATATAACGTTAATATTATAGGAATTAAAATAGAGTACAGTTCTTCTCCAGACTCTATTTTAATTCCTAATAATATTTTAAATTTCTACTTCTGTATCACCTATTTCAATTAAATAATAATACAAACTGTCAATCAATAACAGTGGTATCATGACATTACTGCCTGTCACTGTCACGACCTACCATATACTATTGTCCATGAGTAATTAGGCCTCTCACGGCCTAATTAGTGAGATTTGGTTAAAATACCTACGTAATACGTATTTTGGATCGTATCAATGTCTGATAAGTCAAAATATATTATAACTAAATCTGTAAATCCTTACGTAGGTAGTTGGAAAAAAGGCAGAAATACCTGAAAGAGGTCTAACAGTTACAAGATGTCTTATTTTTTTAATATCTTTTCGTTTTTTAATAGTATCTAGATTATTGTTAGAGATGGACACAGCAAACCCTATATGACAATGCTCGACAGGAAACGTTGTATCCAAATATGTAAAAATATACAGGGTGTTCCATTTAAATTAACAAAATTAACATCCGTGGCCATTTTGTTTGGACTTCATTTGATTTTCAACTATCATTTTCAAAAAATTCATAAATAATCTTGCAACTTTCGTATTTCATATTTTTTTATAACTCTTAAAACAACAAAGTTAATGGGGGGGTCAATATAAAGTGAATCACCCTGTCCCTGTCAAATATTAGATATTCATTTAACTGAAAGTAAAACAAAAGTATTAGATTTATTACTTTCCTATTACTACTGTTACTGAATTTGTTACTATATTATTATAATACTTTTATTTACCTAAATAATTTTCAGATTATTTTTTATTACAATTTACAAATGCGTCGGTCTAATTCTTAATTGTTCAAGAAATGTCGCTTCACGTACTTTCTGTGTGATGTGCAACATTTTAAACATTTGAATTAAATTTGTATCTTTTATATAAAGAGCAATATTTCATTTAAGTAAATATGTAATATTAGTAATACGTTCCACAAGAAAGAGAAAAACACCAATTTTTATATTAACTTCTTTTACACCAACGGTTATATGGATTTGTTTTCCTTCATCTTTTTTCTTTAATTTTCTTTAATTTAGAGAAACAACAGTAACACTTTTACCTTTTGAGATAATTATATATTTTTGGAAACTACCAGAGCACATTTTTAAGTGGGCCATGTCAATTATGATTTCTATTTAAAAAAATTTAATTTGACTCTGGAATTTTGCAAATCGAAAAATACACCGGGTATATTCCACATAAAAGTCCCCAGCCTCGTATCTCAGCAACAGAAACATATTTTGATTTAGAAAAAAAAAAACAGATGATAGAGCTTATCGATCGGCTCCATCAAGGAGTGCAACATAATTTTTTTCAGAGCAAATTGGAGATGGCGCTGAAGAAATTTTTCGTTTGCAGGAACTTTGTAATAAGGTTTATCCGATGCTTTGTGCAATTGTAAACAATTTTTGTCAAATGACTATTTTTCAAATACTTAATAGTTTCAGAGATATCGGATGAGGCGCAACTCAAGCGTATTTTAGTTTCGAATACCTTACCCAATGGAACAATAATTACCCAAGTCAATTTAACAGTTTTTTTTTAAGGAATAATGAAATAAAAAAATGTATTTCTTTAAAATATGATGAGCTCTATTATGTTTGTTTTTTTCAAAATCAAAATATCTCTTTCCGTTGCTGAGATACATGGACTTTTATGTGAACACCCGGTACATATTTTTTTAAATTTTAAGTACATTACTACATTTTACGCGTGGAACCTTAAGGGGGGCGTTTTTATGTGTTATTTTCGGTGAATTTATAGCAGTCTTTTGACGAGAATTTTTGAAAGTCTAGGCAAGTTAGAAACAATATCTCTTTACTGGAGCAGTTATACAAGTTTTCTCCAGGGTACAAGACAGCTCACAAGCTGACAATACATTCAGAATAAGAAAAAATCATATTTTTTACTTCTTATGTCTGTTACATCATTATTGTACTAAAGGTGCATTTTCTTGTCTGTAAAACATCAGCCTTAAAGAAACATTGTCAACATATTAAGGAAAAGGTTGAGTTGTAGACGGAAATAGAAAAATTTTCGTTTTCTGGCTGCAACTAAAAAGCATGTGCTGATATCTATCTTAAATATGTACATATCACATCTAGCAAACCAGTATGAAGACCACTACTAATCGCATTTTTGTTTTCAGATGGCCAGCAGGATATTTCTAGCTTTAACACGCAAAAAAAAGAACGAAGCCGACGGTGGCAGTCAGCTGAACCGGGTGTTGACGTTGACGGATCTGACTGCCCTAGGAGTAGGGGCCACTCTAGGTTTAGGAGTTTACGTGCTTGCCGGGTCGGTGGCCAAGAATGTAGCTGGCCCCGCGGTCTGCTTGTCTTTTTTGGTAGCTGCTGTCGCGTCTGCAGTATCAGGTCAGCTATTACAGTATTTTTGTTACGTTAAAACTTGAAGTTTTGATGAATAGTCTATGAAAAAATTCCACAAAATCTAGATAAAAATTTTGAATTCCATCTGGACCAGACTCGTGATGAGAGAGGACAGTATCAGCTTACTCTGCCTTAGGAAAAATTGCCCGATTCGGTATATTACCAAATATCTGACAAAAAATATATTGTCCCAAAAAAAAACGAAATCCCCCGACCGATAATTTCAGGATAGAGTACTATAAAAAAAATTCAAATAAATGTAGGATACTAAGAAACGTAGTTACATTGGATTTGACTTTGATTTTAAGCTTGGAAAATGGAAAATAATGATCGTGAAATTTTATTTAACGATGAAGTCATATTTACTGCAAATGGAATGATTTCAAGTCAAAATTACCGTCACTGGTCAGCTGACTGGGTTTTCTAATTTTTTTTTTGGAACGACTTTTGGGATGCATTAGATGATTTACCATTCAGGAACCTCCTTAGTTTAAAGTTTCAAATAGATATTAATAACGCTGTTTTGGTAAGATAATGGCTATATGGGCATTTTGAAAATTGTTGGAGAGGGCGAAATAATGCTTTGATTGAGTGGCCGCCAACAAACCTTTTTTTTGAGAGTTTACTAAAAGATAAAGTTTACAAATTAAAACCAGATACTATACAACTATTGAAGGTTTAAATAAATGTAATAAATCAGGATATCCTCCAGATATCCTACCGTTTGTCCCAGGGACATGCAGTTTGGATCATATTTTATCCTCAGGACAGTCCTAAGTTGTCCAAATATCAGGCAGATGCAGGTTATCATCTTCCTGACATCCGTGGAATATCTTATGCTGCAAATCAGGACATCCTTTGATTACCCCAGCCTATGTCCCAGAAATGTACGGTTTGCACTATGTATATACTAGCCTCGGGATCGTTTGATGATGTCTGAGGGATATCCTCTGGATGTCTAGTAGTTATCAAACGTATTTAAGTATGTACAATTCAGTTGAACAATAAAATGATTTGAGTTACTTTTTCACAGAAATAGAAATTTAAATTTCCGAAGTTCTTATATTATCTGAAGTTATTTGTTTGTGGTGCAGTTTTCCTTTTTTTTTTAATTTTTGTGTATTTTGCCACCTGTGAAAGAATTTAAAAATTAAATTAATTAAATAATCCTTTGCAAAAGGATAAGTCGAGGGTTATTTTTATCAGAATAGTTTTGCCAAATAAAAAATAACATACTGAAAACAGCAGACAAATACAAAACACAAAATTCACATTACTATACAGGGTGATTCATTAACAATGGGAAAGTCGAAAGCTAAAGATACTACACGTGAAATGGTGACTATTGACGCAAACATGCCTTATCCGAAAGTTGATAGCTTCGGAAATACAGAGTGTTGAAAGTTAAAATTTTAAATTGTTTTTTGCGATTATTCTGAAAATAGGAACTTAAAAATTTGTGAAACAATATTTTTTTAGGCGACGAATAAGAGGTGTGTTGTATTTTCAGCATTGCTCATAGAGGGCGCCACTTACGACCAATTTTACCGAAAATTTAGTTAATAACTTTTTACCCTGTATGTCTAACATGAAACTTGATTCAAAACCTGAAAGAGCAATCATTTTTCCATTAATTGTGTATTCTTGTTTCATTTCGGTATCTCGATCCGTTTTCGAGAAAAATCGATTTAACGAACACTATGTTTTGATAATACGAGAAATTAAAAGCGAAACAAACCAAGTGTTTCTTCGTGTTATTACAACAATTAACAATAAAACAAATGAAATTCGTAATAATGATTTAAAGTCAGTGTTCGAAGAATCCACCGTTGACATTTACACACTTTACACAACGTTTTCTGAGAGATCTTCGAGTTTGAAACAACATATTGGGATTGCGTTTGACTTCGTTGGCAGCGATTTGTATTCTTTGCCACAACTCTTCACACGAACCAATAGATTCTTCCAAATAGAAAAATGAAGAGGATTGAAGTCCGGACTTCTGGGTGGCCAAGTAAAAATGCTTCCACGGCTTGAAGAAGTTCCACTTTATTTAAGAAGAGACATGTGGTTCATGCACGACGGAGCTCCACCGCATTTTTCTTGGCCAGTGCGTGCATATTTAGATGCAGTTTTTCCAAATCGCTGGATTGGCCATGTAAGCATTTTTGCTTGGCCATCCAGAAGTCCGGACTTCAATCCTCTTGATTTTTCTATTTGGTCTCGAATGAAAGATATAGTTTACAAAGAATCTATTGGCTCGTGTGAAGAGTTGTGGCAAAGAATACAAATCGCTGCCAACGAAGTCAGACGCAATCCCAATATGTTGTTTCAAACTCGAAGATCTCTCAGAAAACGTTGTGTAAAGTGTGTAAATGTCAACGGTGGATTCTTCGAACACTGACTTTAAATCATTATTACGAATTTCATTTGTTTTATTGTTAATTGTTGTAATAACACGAAGAAACACTTGGTTTGTTTCGCTTTTAATTTCTCGTATTATCAAAACATAGTGTTCGTTAAATCGATTTTTCTCGAAAACGGATCGAGATACCGAAATGAAACAAGAATACATAATTAATGGAAAAATGATTGCTCTTTCAGGTTTTGAATCAAGTTTCATGTTAGACATACAGGGTAAAAAGTTATTAACTAAATTTTCGGTAAAATTGGTCGTAAGTGGCGCCCTCTATGAGCAATGCTGAATTTACAACACGCATCTTATTCGTCGCCTAAAAAAATATAGTTTCACAAATTTTCAAGTTCCTAACCTACATATTTTCAGAATAATCGCAAAAAAACGATTTAAAATTTTAACTTTCAACACCCTGTATTTCCGAAACTATCAACTTTCGGATAAGGCATGTTTGCGCCAATGGTCACCATTTCACGTGTAGTATCTTCAGCTTTCGATTTTCCCATTGTTAATGAATTACCCTGTATAAGTTCTTGTAAAGAATTAAGAATTTTACATGAAACATTGATATTTATTTGTTTATAAAGACGTATTTTATTAGTTTACTTTAAATAAGCAGAGTATTAAAATGTTAGTCATCATAAAGTGGAAATTATATTAGTTAGGCCGGTACTTGATTTTTCCTGCGAATTATCAAAAATTAACTTTATAAAACTGTATATCGACGTAATTCATTTCCTATTATTTTCATGAGATTCTTAATTTAAATGTGTAAATTTTTTCACATAAAAAGGACCGCTCAATATTTCAAATGGTTTTTGAAAAATTAAAATCGGTTGATTAGGACGGCCACAGTAAATTTTTAAAGTTAACTCTTTTTATTTTTAAACAATTAGATTACATTTATCAATTTGCAATTTAGTTTTTTCAAAAATTATAATTTTAAAGTACTTATTATTTTTTCTTAATTTTATCTGTATTTAACAAAAAAATTAATTCCCCAATAATTTTTTTTAATTTGTTTAAACCAAAAATTATTTAAATAATTGTAATAATTATAACTAAATATATTCATATTTAGAGTGTTGAAATATATACCTAAACAAACTTTTTCATTGAAAAAATGCAATAGCATAGGGTAAAATATACAGTTTATTTAATGCATAAATAATAAACTTTGTTTATAACAAAATAAGTGCAAATTAGACAGTTGGCATTACGATATTCGAATTCCTTGGCTCGCGAGACATCGGATTAAAAAAAGATCGAAATTAGTCCATTAGAAGCCGAGATAATGCAATTTTTTTCGTACCTTCGCATTATGAACCTCCGAATTCAGTCTCGGAGCGAAAGCCCCTTCCACCACTTTTCGAGTTTTGAGTCACTTTTGCGCGTGCAAGGGACAGCTTTTCCGCCGATTTATCTATGTTGCCAATATCTTACGAAAATTTTTTCCAACTTAGAACTCGAAAAAACGAAGCCACTGGATTAAAGATTATTGCTAAATTGTTTATAAATTAACGGTAAATGCCGATAAACTTCGACCGCTTATGTCTCAAGAACCAATAAATGGAATTTAACTTTTTTTAAAGAAGCGTCTTTCCGAGTACTTTAAAATTATAATTTTAAAAAAAAACTAAATTGCAAATTGATAAATGTAATTTAATTATTTAAAAATAAAAAAAAGAGTGTTACTTTTAAAAATTTACTGTGGCCGTCCTAATCAACCGATTTCAACTTTTCAGAAACCATTTGAAAGATTGAGCGGTCTTTTCTATGTGAAAAAATTTTGAAGCATCTAGATGCTTTATTTGAGGCTGTGCAACATTTTGAAAATTCGAAAAATTTTTTTCAATTTTTTTTTCATAAAATTATTTTGCGAAAACTATCGAATCGATTTTAATGAAATTTAGTGTATTGTTTTATTTTACTCTAAAGTGTTTTTTTACCAAAATTAGAATGCCCTCGGAGCAATTTAAACATTTTTAACTTACAGTAGGTATATTGTGCAAAATTCAATTATAAAACTTTTTTCCTCCTCAGTATTCTTCCAAAATGCATAGGTTCCAAGATATAAGTAAAAAACTCAGATAATATAGGTATTTTTTAAAATTTTTTAAACATTTTTGCAATTTTGAAAATGTTCTGGACCTCCCCAAATCTAGGAATCTACAGTTTTATTATGTCAGTTGTACTGAATGTATTCCAGCAAAAATTAGCTTGCAACATCCAAGAACTGGGATATTTCGACAAATCCGCTCTGGTCTATACATAGACTGGCACATGCACAGTAAACGATATATAGATGCCGAGAATGTTTTAGGGAAAGATATGCTACCAAACTAATAATGGGATATCCGCATGTTGCAAAATAAAATATCCCGTATACATACGAAATTATATGTCCCGAAGACATATCTACGGTCATCTTGAGTATAACTTGTGCTATTTGGGGGCCACTTTGGCATGTCACTCAAGAAGGAAAAGACTATTTCCATAAAAATATGTTAAATCTACTTCTGAAACTGATAGAAATACAATTTGGATCCAGTTGTATAAACACTATCAG